AAGATATCTTGATGAAAAACATGGCTCGATAAAGTCTTGCTGCGCGGAATAATGGAAAAGTAGAGAATGCCTGAAGCGGCATACGACGGGTATTCAAGTCGCATGGTGACAAAAGCACAGAAGGAGGTCAAAGTCGTAGAGGACGGAATATGACGGAACACAGACTGGGCTTCGAGCAAAGGAGATTCGGGACAAGCAATGCTTTTGCACGGCCGGGACTCCAACCAACCATGGCGCAGGAAAGGCGATCTTTCGCAAGCACAGCCTGCACCTTCTAAATCCTACGCTCCAATGTTCACAAGATCTTGGACTTCATGTGGGATGGCTGATGACAGTAATTGCACTGCTTAACAGTCAACTCTATGAGGCAACAAGACGGCACAAAAAGTAGACGAGTTGCAATATGTGCCTTATGCGGAATGGAAAGCGCGCTTTATTAGCGTATGCACAAAGGTCCTGAATCCTTGGCGCGAAGAAAATTGTATACACCCCACCAAGAACAGTAGTGAATAAGGTAGCTTTATCTTCTTCGCTATCGGGTACATGCATCCGGTATCGGATATGTCTCATCACCGAAAAGAAATTAAACTTCATAATCGACACCTTAACGGGAGGCCTTGAGGGAGAAACGGCTAACAACCGAAGATGAGGACTTCAAGCAGACGCACTTCCATATAAGCAGACCTTTTTCACTCCCATCCTCGGAGAACGTTGGTATATCTTCGAGGTAAGATCATAAGTAAGACTCGCTACACCGCGGTGCGTGCCGAATTGATAGGCTTGACTATCTGAGTGGAATTCTACGCTTCTTCCACCAAACCTCGTCTGATGTGAAATTTATCAGATGGGCATTCGCTGTGATGCGAACCATCTGCCTCTACAATCGATAATCAAATGCTTCCAACTGGATTTCCCGATTGGAGGAAAATTGGATGGCACGTTGGCAAGAAGCTAAGAGACATCATCAATCCTCCCGCAGATACAGGTCCATCACGAGAAGAGCGGCGGGCACAAAGACACCGTGATGGACTCAAAGGTCTGGTCTACTTTGATGACTTCGACGAGGTGGAAGCCTGGTCAGCAGAAGATGTCGACCCAGTCCAGCAGGCCAACATGCCCCTCTTGAAACGCTCGGCCTCTCGAGTTCATGATCATGTAAGGCCTACTACCTTGGTACTGCTGTGCCATGACTATAGCGGCGGCTACCATGATTACGAAAGTGTTCGTCCACCTCTACTCAAGGACAAACTGTACGCTTGCAATTACCCTCAATACGTCGATACGTTTGTCTATTTCTCCCACAAGCTCGTATGTGTCCCACCGCCTACATGGATAAACACCATGCATCGCAATGGTGTCAAAGTTCTAGGGACGTTCATTGTTGAGCCCGGAAAACTTAATGTTGAGCGAATGCTGGACCAAGTGAACGGCGAGTTCATCATAGCCAAACAGCTAGCTGCTATGGCCGATGTCTTCGGTTTCGATGGATGGCTGCTCAATATCGAATTGGAGTTTCCCAAATCCGTCAAAGATCTTACAAGTAAGATATGTGCATTGATTCGGAGTCTCAAGCTTCTGTTAGGGCCTGCAGGGAACGTTGTCTGGTGTAAGTCTACTTTCCGGAATGAATCCTTCCTGATCTTTCCCGGGAAATCTGGGATGTAAGACATGTTTTGGGAAGTATCTCACTCTCCGAATGGGCCTCGTAACTCAAACCCTATTTGAAAAAGTGACACTGACTCCGAAAACATGAAGATGATGCTTTGACTACTGATAACGAAGTCGACCATCAAAATGGCCTGACCCTGAAGAACGTTCCCTTCGCTCTTGCTGCGGACTTACTCTTCACGAATTATAAATGGACAATGAAAACCTTGAAGGAAGCGGACTCAACGGGTGAAGTATATGGACTTCATCCAACGAAGACCCTTTTTGGTATTGATGTGTGGGCTCAGAACACTAATATGCCAGGTCCGCATCGAATCACCTTTCCTCCGAAGGGTGGAGGAGGGACAAACACCGGGCTTGTAAGCTTCAGAATCACAGCCTATCTTTGACCGAACGTACCACCTTGCGAATTCGAAATGTTTATTTCAGGAATGAAAGCTTATTAAATCTGATATCTAGGCCTTGGGCGTTTTAGCAGAGGCTGGTTTTTCTACAGCCATCTTTGGGCCAGCCTGGACCCATGAGCATTTCTCCACCTCTGCGGAATCTACTCTGTCCACCGCAGAACGCGTTGAACATGCTATGTGGCTAGGGAAGCGCTTACCATCCGACCTCGGCTGCGATTGTCACGAAGGACTGCCCCATCAAACACGGGAGTACGTCGGGACTCCTATTGTCAATCACGCTTGCGAGTTCCCTGCCGGATCGACACACTTCTTCGAAACCGACTTCAATGGAGCTTTCCAACGAGTGGCAAATCCAGGAGCTCAGGTAAGCCCTCGTTGTCCGTTGATGACGATCAATTAAGCCATGTTCGTGTATCTAGAGTGAGAAGCATATTCGCCCAATGCTTGGATCTCAGGGACCACTGCCTCATCTATTGCCCATGTCGCTACCAGCGTGGGAGCAAGCGTCAGATAGGCCTCCGACCCGTGTGCTTTATGGAGAATTGCCAGATGAGGCTCCTGGAGGCCTAATCGTGAATACGAGGATCATCCGCATGCACGAGAAGACCGCCCCGTTTGAATCATGGGGCTCACATCCTCAAAGAGGAACACATTATCGTCTATGCCTTTTCAAGTTGAACATGCTTGCCGATGAGTCACTCGCCGCTACGATCAGGTTCAAATGTCTTGAAGCGAGCACGGACATAGCTCCAGGTTTCTACATGGGCTATATTATGTCAGACTCTGAGAAACTTTGCTACATCCACGTAGAAATATCTTTCCCGCGTTCGAACCAGGTCCAGGACAAGACGATCATGCTCTCTTTCCCTACCGCCGACTCGCGCCTCGTAGAATTTGGAGTATATGGTCTAGGCCTGATCGAAGACCCAAAGCCACTGGCGCTGTGCCAGATCTTCAATCTCACTATCAAACCAAGAAGTCAAGCGGAATCGTGCTGGACCATCGTTGGCGTGAGAGTGACGAAGCGAGGCCGTTCTCCAGATCACGAGAAAAGGCTGGCATGGAAGTGGAGCAGCTCGGACGATTCACGCCCAGCATTTCTACCGTGGAGCAAGACAACGGGCCCATTCACGTACTTTGATGTCATGATTAGCGGAAAGGAGCTCGGTAGGGCGTATTGCACGGAATTTCCCATCCACAGTGAGGACTTTGATGGGTGCAAAGGTGAAGAAGTGGAGGCAGTCATACGTGGACGCCTCTTCGGTGGTAGCGAGGTTGCCAGCTTGCCGATACAACTATCGAGGGATGAGTTTGGTGTTCCTTGATAGAAATACCAGTATCTTAAAGCTATCTGATTGTATCGTTGCCCGATCGTCGAGACAGGTTCTCTCACAAATTCAAGACACATGGTCATCCTCAAAATCAATCTCTGCTGTCTTGGCGTTCCTTCCCTCGTCGTCTGTATCGACCCTCCTGTCCTCCGTCAGCCTCTCCCTCACGGCCATCAATGCTCTTCCTAACAGGTTCATTCCCCGATCATTGCGTTCTCCCCCACCACAGCTTCATCAGATCCAACCCCCACCTGCGATCAATCTGGCTCGCCACCACCAATTCCCTCTTCTTGTTGCAACTAATCCCTGTCCTAATGCTTCTGTAACCTCAGCATCCTCTTCTCCTAAGCCTTCCCCTAAAAATTATGCCCCTGTTTTACCCAACAGAAAGATTGAACAGTAACGCACCGCCACTCTTTTTACTGTTCCACGATCGCTTCTCAATTTTTTGCAAGGTATTTCGCTTGCGCTAAAGATGAGGAGGCAAGGAAGAGGGCCGCGGTCGTGGGCGACCCGAATGCCACTACTTTGGTATACCTCTATGGATAGTTCGGAGACAGCGGCTCTTCTTCAGGGCGAATACTCGGGTAGTGAGACGGCTTTAGGGCAGTGAAAGGACGCTTCTACTCCCGAAACTTGTCTGGTCACAATTCTAAATATCGTGTGAAACAGGAAGATCTTGCTCCCAAGTGTACGTACCATGTATTGTTCGGCGCAGTTGGAGATGTGAGAAAAGCGGGGGTTGCAGAGGTGAGGCAGAGGACAGAGTAAGGGTGGGATGTTGGAGGGGGAGAGTCAGAAGTAAAGCAGGTGTCGTTAGCAAGGGTGGAGGGGCAGGCAGCGGTGTAGCAGGTGAGCTGAGTTTTTTATCGTTCCTGTGAGGCACTACGGAAATCCTCGGGTGTTGGATGAACCTTCAAAGGGCGTGGGTGAAATCGAGATTTGGCCAGCTGGTCGTGGCTTCAGTATCCCATGGTACTGTGAGCTGTCAAGACACTGCTAAGGGAGCTTGTTCGTTGTATAAATGTGAGATCCATCATCAGAGGGGATTTGGAGCAGAGAGATTGCGAAATGTAGATTGGGCACCTCGAGCCAGAGGCGGAGTACCTATCTAGCTGTCAAGAAGGGGTAATGTGAGAAACGACTGAGCTTGCACGCCGGGAGCATGTAAACCCAAGTTCGCAGTCGTCTATTTGAGATCACAGTGTCGAGTATTCACGGAGAGAATTAAGACGGCTGAACATTGTTCTTTTCAATGCTGGTAGGCCCCTTCTGGAGATTTCCTCAGCGGTGTACATCGTGTCGTTGTCCGATGTCAAACCGCTTTCTCTCTCCATCAAAACCCACTCAACCCTCTTCGAGATTCTCGTGTATTTTAATGAAACTATCGCTTGGCTCATCCGAGCCGGGGTAATCGTAAAAGTGCTGCAAAGTCCACCTCGCTATGCCTGTCGTAATACATGGTATCAATGTTCAGCCTCTCATCATGAGTATCATTGCTTTGCCCTACAGATGCCCTTACCAGACTCGCCCTGCAACGCCTCGAGATGAATTTCCATCTCGCACCTTTACCATCATGATAAAATCGCATATCTTAAAGCTCAAGCTTTGGCTCCCACTTTGTCCCATTCTTCTTTGACCACTCCTCGAGAAAGCTCAAGCCAAAATTCACAGCCTGTAGACCGCTAGTCATTGACCCCATGGGCAGATTAAACTTCCGCTGATATTCGCCTTGTACTACGGCATCTGCGCTTTTGACAGGGAGAAGAAACTGTCGTTCGCGCTTGGCCCAAGTCACGGGATATTCAGATTCGATGTCGCTGATTTTCAAGAAGTCCAGTCCCGAACGCCATGCACTCTGCGATTTCTCGAAGCAGCGACGGAATTCATGGAATGACCCGTGATATGCCGCAGCTTGGCAATATTCTTTCGTCTTCGCAGGATCCGCGGCCGCAGTCTCAGCTAATTTCTGCTCAAGTGGATTGTAATCGAGTCTTTTGAAATCGTAGCAGACCATGTAGTCTCGAATGATGCCTTCGAGCTGGAGGAGGAGACCAGTCAGGTGTTTGAACGGTTGAGCTTCTCTGTTGATGAGATCCAAGAGCCGAAGCATAGACTTCCAGCCATCGATATTGCCAATCTGCCCAAATTGTCGTTGGGGTTCATCAAAAAGCGTGAAAGCCAGAATGTAGCAGAGTACGGATTCTGTACCAATCATGACGCCTCGTTTACGTTCGCTATCAGTCATGATCGGAATTTCCTTCAAAAACACATCCGAGGCATGCTTTAAGTCTGTTGCTTGTCTCAAATACTTGCTAGCGTCACGCTTCACATCCTGCAGACTAGGCTTGCGACCACCAGACGACGTGACAGAATTACGCCGGTTTCCAGCATCTGGTACATTGGGGGTACTATTCAGAGCAAGGCCTCGTGGTGTGGTGGTCGAGCCTTCGCCGGACTCAACACGCAGCATGGGGGCGCTCTTGGGATCAGCCTTCGGAGTGAGTAATTGTGGTTTCTGCGTACTTCCAACATTCGATGGAGCGGGAGAGCTAGTTGAAGGTTGTTTCGGTGTATGAGCGTTTTGCGAAGCCCATCTCGGAGTCTTGTGACGTTTGGCGGGAAGCTCCGGTTCGTCTCTACGATCTAGAGACCCACGCCGCTTTTCGCCAGCGTTGGCAGCCTCTGGATCATTACGCTTTGGTTTCGCCTGTATCTCGAGCCGATTTTCATAAGAATTGCTGGCATGCTTCTGCTCCGACTGCGGAGTCCTTGAACGCTGTTCGTGCTCTATCGTTCGACGGATGTGTGGGTACTTTCCTTGTGTGGGCGGCAACCTTAGATATTGAGCAAGATTTTTGCGATTTGTCTTCTTCCTGATCTTCAAAAGTAGGCGCAATCTTCGTTTCTCAATTCTCTGAGGTGTTGTTGATGCCGTTACCGGTGCGGTGACGGGAGAAATGAGAAGCTTATTCGGTTTCGAAGGTGTAACTTTGTTTGACACAATGTTCTTAGCTGCTTGCCGAGGAGCTGAGGTCACTTGTGGTTGAATCCGTTGGTGTTTGACAGAGTTGACGGAAGCTGTCGTGCTGGTCTTGCTCGATGCATAAGCCTTCCCTCCGACGCTTGACTTAGCGCCCTCTTCGTCGGTTGACGAGCCCGTATCATTCTTCTGCTGCTTGATTTTGGAAGATGGGTTAGGGCTTTTGCTCTTCGCGATGCTGCCACTGCGTCTTCGAATGCTAGGGTTCAACTTGGCGAGCTCCTCTTCGATCTCTGAAGGTAGTGTGGGCGATAGCATTGGCGGGAGACCATGCAGGTTGAGTGCCTCCGTCTTCTTCTCTTTCGGTACGACTTTCTCAGGACCGGGTTGCTTTTCTGTCGGCGGCTTCTCAGCCTTGGGACTTTCATGAGATCTGACCTTTTGCGCATCAGATGAGTCTTTGATGATGCCAATCTCAACACTTGTTCTTTGAGGGGGAACTTTGAGCGGCCCTGCTGATGCGGGGTTGGGCGGCTCAGACGTGGTTCGCGCCTTCTTAGCAGATGGAGCAGCTAGAGGTTGCTCGGAAGCATTGGAATCTTTCCCCACTTCTATCGCGTCCGCCGATCTGACAAATATAAGTATCCAAGAAGCTTTCCAAACATCAGCAGAGCATACCTCTTTTGACCGTGCTGCTCGACCTGGAGAGGCTTTGGCAGTTTGACATTTGCATCAAGTCCCTGGATACTCGCGTCATCTTTCTGATGTTCTTTTGGTTTCGGACCTGTGGGTTTTGTTGTAGCTGCAACAGCCTTGTTCTTATCCCTTTTGTTGTAGTCCGCCAAGCTGATCTTCTTCTTTTGACCCTGCCCTTGAAGTGGAGTCCCGTCGCTACTAGTTCTGCTGTTGGGCTCTTCTGGCGGTGCTAATCCTCCTTTTCCATCGTCCCACCCGCCACGGCAAAACAGACCAGGGGTCAAGTCATTCGTCCGGTCTTTGAAAGTGAGGTACTGCAATTCTTCTTCGTTAGGATCGAAATGACTACCAAGTCGCCAGAGGTTCGCATGCTCTGGGCTTTGGCGATATGTAGATCTAACATGTAAGATGTACGGCGTTTCAGGAAGAACTTTGGCTTTGAGTCGTCTAAATCGAGCGTCCACTGGATGCTCGGCTTTATTCGTGGTTCTTTGAGCTTCGGAAAACCTGGCTGGAGTGGAAGTAGCTTCTTTGGAGGGAAGCGACATGTTCATAGTGTTCAGGTGGAGACCTTGGTACTATGACGATTACCAGCGCCGTCAACAGCGCGAGGTGATAGTCGAGTTCGAACTGGTGGTGAGCGCTTCAGTAAGAGTGAATTGCGGTAGGAGTTACAAATAGAGTCGGGAGGTTGTTTGAGGGGGAAGAACAGGCCATCTGATTGTAATGAGAGGTGGTGGTAGGCTCGGAGTTGTGTCAATGGGCTTCTGATGTATTCCCTCGGTTGTTTTTGCGCTCATTGACGACAGGACTCCTCCTCCACCTTTGGTGTACTGATCCTCGTCTGATTATCACATGCAGTCTCGCAGTGGCCAAAACGATGCTGCGATATCAGGGTGGAATGATGCGAATGACGGATTCCAAATTGCTAAGGTATAGCAGCTGGTGGAGCGAACATGTGATCAGGTTCCATGGAGAGGACAAAGACGAATGAATAAGGGCTAAGGCGCCGATGTGGAGGCAACGACCAAGAAGGAGATTCTGGTGGCGATGGCGATGGCGATGGCGATGGCGAAAGCATTAGACAAGAAGCGGTGGGAACAGATTTGCTGGAGTTGCTGGAGCTGCTGTAGAGCTGATTTGCATAGTACCACAAGCTACATGTACTTTTGACAAAGTTCAAGTGAATTAATCCTTACGAGTAATCCTTAATGCTCTTGACGCTTTTCAAAGATGGACCATGAGGTACCTTACGGCACACCTTCCTTACTTTAGGGCTGGGCGGTGCGGTACGAGTAAAAGGTATGAGTACCTTAGTACGGTAGCACGGTAGGTACCTTAGAGCAACAGATGACTGCGGGCGCTAGACTACCGGAAGACCGGTATTCGGCCGTAATCTTTATGGATGTACCGAGGTAATGAGGTAATAATGTACCTTATCTTAAAGTACGGTACGATTCTTTTCTTTCTCCCTTCCGCTTCATCAAAATACATGGGAAGACTTTCTTATGAGCCACGAAAATCCATAGGTTGGAGTTGTATTAAGATTGGCAAGTCAATGCCAAATCTTCCTCCCAATCATCACCTGTCCCCATCATTTGATGCCCATTTCCTTCGTATCCCTACTTTGCTCCATCGTTAAGCATTTTACCCCCGCCCGGAGACTTCTCCTTCGCAATTCCCTGACCCCCAATCAAAACCTCGACCAGCTTGGATCAACCTGGGTCCCTGCCGCGCTAGGTCTTCGTATCGTCCCGCCATCGACGAATGATCCTCCGAGGTACTCGACAACATATTCAGCTACCTATTCATCGAGGATATCCAGAGACACCCATTGCCATGGCAGAGACCTGCACTCCACCATCATGATAATGAGAAAAGTGTGCAAATCGAGCAGCAGAGCCGAGCCGCAATCTAAAGGTACGGAGGAGCCTAGGATGGTACCGGTAGATGCATGACGTGCAGATTGTACATGGATGATTTCGGGAGATATGTTTCATCTTGAGCCGCGTGTGTCTATTGTCTTGAATGTTTCTTGCGCTTCCCCCCACAGTTGTAGCAGGTGTTCTCGGAACAATGTCTTGTAGCTTGTAGGCTTGCTTGTCCCGTCTCCTTTGGATGGTCAATGGCAGAAAATTCTTTCAGTTCTAAATCTCTGCATCTCTGCATGTACCGTGGCCACTGAGGCAGTGAATTGTTTCAAGGTAAAGTCATTCCCGGGATTGATCCTTTATGCTGACGCTGACGCTGACGTGGGGAAACTGCTTGCTTGCTTTTGATTGTTTGCCCTGCTAACAAATCTAGTGGTATTTTGCACCGATTATGTATGAGACAAGATGAATACATCTGCTAGAACAACCATAATTCCAGCAATGCGTAGAGACGTGGAAGGTGAGTCCAGCGCAGCTGTCCAACGACACCCTGAGAAGCAGAAATAACAACGCCACTGCTCAATGCGAGAATGCAATGCCAAAAGATATGATATGCTATATATACACAATGTCGAAGATGTTCAACGTTCGCCAATCACGAGTCGCAATCGTTATTCAGCGGCGGGAAAGGACATTGGTTGTTGATCAGAGCAACAGGACATGCTGCTCCGCACTCAACCTTCGTCGGGAGCTGCGAGATACACGCAATGTCCAACGTTCCATCCCAGTTGAAGTTGACGATCGAATCCCCAAAGTTCCCTTCCTGCGTGCAATTGAAGCTGCCATCGAACAGCACTTGGAGAATGGCCCAGTTGTTGTTAACGGTGTCTTGCAGTAGCTGATATGCATCAACGCCTACCAGGCCAGCATTCTCGTTGGCGAAAGCGTAAACACGTCCCGTAGGCTGGCTCCAAAAAAGTGCTGAACCCTGACCGTTGGTGCAAACGCTGTTGTTGCCCATGGTGCAGTCCCCACCGCCACCTCCGATCACGGCGTTCTCGACGTCTTGCACGGTCTCGAAAGGGCCAATCATAGGCGTCGATACCCAGCCGTTTTGGGCAAACGCTTCCGAGGTCATGTAAGTCCTGAGAGCATAGTCGAGGCCCTCGACTTTGCTGGGTAAGGAAAGCGACTCGGCGCCCGAATACTGCCCGCTTTCGACAAACTTGACAAACGTTGGCATATCGCTCATGAGCAGTTGAACCGCGTTATTGACCATGTCTGCGAGCTGGTTTGTGCTGTTCCCTAGCTCCGCTTCTAGATTGCCGATTTGCACAGATTGCGAGTTCTGGGTGCCCGTCGGCCAGAGCGCTTTTGCGGTGGAAGGCGCTTGCTGCAGACTGATTGTCAAAACCTGAGCGGCAGACTTCGCGAGGGAGGACAGTCCGAGCACTGTTACTGCGATACTTGGTGCTCCCAAGAATGCCAGACCCACCGAGAGTGCAGTCAGGAGTGTTATGAGGTTGAATGTGGCTGGTTTGATCGGGTCCACTTCGTTAATAAGCCCTTGAATCGTCGTTGATGCATCGCTTTGGGCGGCCGTCAGCGCGTTATAATAGGTAGTAAAGAAATCGTTGAGCGCTAAGCCGTGAGTTAGCTAACGATTCCATAAGAGAGGCTATGAGTTCAGAAGAATACCATAGATGTTTTTCTGTATGTATTGGACTTCTGGCCGGATACTATCAGCTAGGCCGGCGCTTAACGCGTTCTCCGATGGCATGGAACAGAACTGCGCATTAATCTGCGAACAATCTTGTGTCCCTCCGCCTTGCGCAAGACGAAGAAAACAAGTCGTCCATGCCTCGCCGGGCAAGCAGCAATTCGTGCCGTCGTTGCTATTGACATCTGCTGATTGACTGTCGCAAACTCGAGTCGATTTGTTCCAGCCTACTCCCCACTGCCCTCCTCCCAGAAGAAAGTTACTCAGTTGAAGTTCTTGCCAGCATTGAGAATTGAAAGCGGCCGACAGATCCGTGCAATTAACGGTTTGCCTCTTTTCCTGCAGTGGCAGATCCGATCCCTTCTGCCGCAAACGCAGTGGATTCCATCCTGATAATGAAGATAATGATTCCTCTATTCCCATCAAGTGAGACCGTTGCAAGGGCGAAGCAGCAGCCAAGATCAAGACAAGAAAGACCGCAGCCGCGGGAAACAAAGACGAAGACCGCCTCATTGCGTCGACAGTCACCGGCATGGACAAAACGAAGAGGACGGAATGTATGGACGTAATGGGAGTAACAGAACTTGTTGTAGTTGAGAATGCATGAGGTGGAATTGGTTCAGGCGAGCACAACGAGAGTGGGGAGATGCTAGACTATATTATCATCATTAGACGGTAGGAGGGCAATGGCTGACTCCTTGGTAGAAGTGGCCATATCGAGCACGTGGATTGGGCCGCAAGCTTTTTTTTGAAACTTGTTTGGTAAAGAATTACATCCTCCGGGCATTGTTGTAAGCAGCTGGACTCGCAGTAACCCTTGCACCCCATGAGGATCGGGGACATATCCTTGGCTGCGCATGTGAGATGGCTGACTTTCGGAGTCTCGGCTGTGTGGGGGGGGGGCGAAAGCGGCAACTGGGTGAGAGGACAGCAAAGGTTAGTAGGGATTAGGAGGAAATAGTAAGAGAATAATAATAACGGGTAGGGAACAACGGGTGAGTACATATTGAAACTCTCACCTGAGACTTGACTTGGTCTTACGCGACAAGCGCGCCTATATCGAAATCGTGGGGCAAGAAAGGCTAAGCATACGGGAACTTGGAGGGCACAAGACGTCCAAGGAACTGGCGTAGAGTAGAGCGATCGTGAGTAAGAGGCTCAGAGGTACATAGGATCCTACAATAAAGTAGTGTATGCAGACGTACCGCTCGCTTACTCCACGTATTTGCCATGCGGCTCAGGTGATCAATCCTGAATCCTGGGGGGGATCTAATTCCCCAATGCCCATGCTGCTCCACGTCACTTCTCCGCATCTACTTTGTACATCGTATTACCCATGTCGAGGGCAGCTCTCTGTGACAGCAAGTGGCAATTTTTGACGTCGTGTAATAATAAGCTCACCCAGTCATCCTTTGCTGTGCGTCATAGCTGACCAAACACGTCTCACTGCACTTGATAACAATACGAGCCATGCTCTGGTTCTGTCATTGTAACAGACCCTGAAATCGCTGAGCCCGTTGTCCGATTGTTCGTGTCAGATTTTCAAAAGCCTCAAGCTACGAGGTCAGTCAGAGTAAACAGAAGCGGTCATCTATCCGGCTCATCGCGCAACTGTATCCCATGTGCGGTTCTGACAGTCAGCCAATCAGATGCATAACCGTTGCACTAAAACGAGCATTCTGCTCTGGCGACCAAAGTCTATCTTGCAGATCTGATGTTTCTCTCTGTGGCGTTGGACAGTAGCGTTCGATCAAGCATCAGATCCCTTTTTCTCTTCTGTACAAGCTTGACGCTCCTGAGGCAGACTGTGTCTCTCGAAACGGCGAAACAATTGTGGGAGATTTGATAGTCACAGCTATGTTTCCCGCCCAGTAATTCTGTAGTTCGTTACTAGAGCAGCTTCATCGTAGATTCAATCAATTGTCTTTTTACACGCTCGAGAAGACGATCTACCTAGTCGATGAAATGGTCTTTGGCACCGGGCGTTATGGAACTGATGCACGAGTCAGTCATTGGTCAATGTTCTCTTCCTTCGACCTGCTATATGACGCAAGGTGATTGATCTAGGAGAATCCATACGTGCGCAACCAAAACTTCTCATACGACCAGGTAAAAACAACCTCTTGCTAGCTGAAGTGGCCCCTGCGCTGCGGCGAAAAGGTATTTCGATATCGCAAGCAACGATAGAGCAGCTAGAAGTTACAATCACGAGGCACAGTGATGGATGAAAGCACGGCATCCCAGATCCAGCTGGAGGGCAATTCATTCTTTCGCATCAGATCATCTGATCAAAGAGGCAGTATTCCCGGGTCTCGTAGACCAGCACTACGTTTCCCAGCCAGACCCACGTGGCTCGACCTCTGAGAGGCTCCTTTGTCTGCGTTTGGACGCGTGTACGACGGGTTATTATAAACATAGACCCAGGAGCCTTCAGGAGGTGAGACTTCGAGACGAAGCTTTTCGGATAAGAGGACCGAGCGTGGGATTCTGATACTAAGTCCACTCCTTCAGCAATTATGGTGAATCGGATGCGAGGCTAGGATTGGCGCCCGCATACCGCACCTTCTGTTGTATCTCTAAGCATCGATTCGATTTGCGGGACCCCTTACAGAGGCCTTGGGGTTTTAAATGTGAATCCAAAATCCCCAGGAATACTAGCAGGCTCCATTTTTAGGGGTGCTCTGCTCCATGCTACCGGCGCGAGCACTGTATAGAAGTGTTGCAAGAGCAATGGGATCTGCTAGGCCTGACGAGAAACTTCACTGTGGTGAAATGCGAGATAGACATAACTGTCAAAAGAGATTCATGCTGGGAAATGGCCAAGATGACCCTATTTGGGCGCTGGTATTCCGGCCGAATAGTAACTTAGATATATGCATCATGGCCGATCTGCATCGACAGCGGGGTGGCGGTAGCTGTAGCAGACCGCTTTGCTCTTCAATTTTTCGAACCGGAACTTCTAATTTCAACGGACATCAATACGCTGTACCGATTTGCTAATAGCAGGCATACCGTTTCCGAAGCCAGAAGGCGATGCTTTCTCAAAACCTCTGAGCAGCTTCTGTCTGCGCATCATTTTCTTTGACACAACCAACTACTTGTATTGGAATAACGTCAACGAAGTCCTTATTCTCATCTCAGTGGGATGCAGCTTACATGATGATTCCATTTAAAGGGTGAACAATATTAGAAAAATCCTGTTCGACTGATCAGGGACTAGATTCTCTTGACTTCTAAATGTGTTGCTGTTTCCCGTACTCAGTGTAATCTGTGAGTTCTGTCCAAAGAGACAAGGGCACACATGGCCAGCTTTTCAAGACTATACGGCATCAATTATCATAACGAGCCGTGGTCTGCAGTATTCGCATAGGGACAAGTAGTAATCTTCATTCTTTCTTGGGTGAGTAGTTGTACAATTGCTCCCATTAGGCTTAGCGCGTGGATCTTGATTGTTGAGCCAGAGTGCAGCTATTGCCTTTTGCCTTTTCAGGCAACCAAAGCACAAAAATCCGTTCACAACAATTTGACACTCCACTCTCTCTTCCAATATCTTTACTCCCTGTCTACTCCTGATCTCTCCCATCCTCCGCTGATCGAAGCTGTCTGATACCGCGTAACGGCCAACGAGAGCGGCATCCTTTTCTTTGTCTCCTTGCAGCAAAGACACACCCAACATGGCAAACGACGAGTATGATGTATGTCCACGTTCTCTGCCTACTCCTTGAGCTGTGCTAACGGATCTTCGTGAAGTTTCTGTTCAAAGGTACCCCCCCTTGGGCTTACGGCCATTAAAGACAACCTCGCCCATGCTACATGCTACCCACCACCTTCTGCCTAATGGCTCTTACTGATCCTTCAATCAGTGGTCCTCATCGGAGACTCTGGCGTCGGAAAATCGAACCTTCTTTCCCGATTCACCCGCAACGAGTTCAACCTCGACAGTAAATCCACCATCGGCGTGGAATTCGCAACCCGATCCATCCAAGTCGACGCCAAGACCATCAAGGCTCAGATTTGGGACACAGCTGGACAGGAACGCTACCGCGCCATCACATCAGCATACTACCGAGGAGCTGTTGGAGCACTGCTCGTGTACGATATCAGCAAGCATCAGACCTATGAAAATGTGCAGCGGTGGTTGAAAGAGCTAAGGGATCATGCGGATGCGAATATCGTCATAATGTTGGTCGGGAATAAGAGCGATTTGAGGCACTTGAGGGCGGTCCCTACGGAAGAGGCGAAACAGTTTGCCAGTGAGTGGGTATATTCCTGTTTGGGAGACATGGGCTAACGGTCAAAGGCGACAACAACCTATCATTCATTGAGACTTCGGCGCTAGACGCAAGTAACGTCGAGCTTGCCTTTCAAAACATCCTCACAGGTATTCTTGGATGCCCAATCGACTTGATGGCAGCTTGCTGAAGGTCTACAGAAATATACCGTATTGTCTCGAGCAAAGCCCTTGATAATGGCGACTCAGCCCAGAACCCAATAGGCGAGCGTAAAGTCCTTGAGATCAGCAAGTCATCGGATCCAGAGACGAAGTCGGGAAAGTGTTGTTAGGGTACTAATATGTTCGAAGCCTGAAGCCGTTCGGTGTACCAAGGACTCGCTAGATATGGATGCTTTAGTCGTTCTCGGGCTTTAGTGGTTCGGTTTCCTCTTCGAGCTCACGAAGGTGGCCTCAAAGATTTGATCCGTAGTATTACTGATGCGTGAGCAATGCCTCGGATTATTGAGATTAAATTGGCGTCCATTAGGGTGGTGTTATCTGTGAAGCTCTGCTACCGAGTCTGCTTCAACGTGCCCCTTTCAGTGACATCTTGACTGTTAGTGTGCTTCGATACCACTGGCACCAGCATGGAAGCACGGAGCCAGCCTGAGCTCATCCTTGCCTTGTCAACGACGTTACAATGAGATGAAGGTATGAGGAGTGATCTACTGTGTGCAGGAATGACCGTTCTTGTACCGCAAAAGGTTCTCTTGTCTTTTGTCTCTAAGAAGATTCAATCTCAACATGCACACATCCACAGTCTTGCTCTCCTTTTGCATAAACCATGACCGAGTTCTAATCCTCAACTCCACCGGCGCCTCCTTCTCTCGAAACGCCGAAGCCCTTGATCTCAGCCGTTCAACTTCCCCTCCCCTCGAACTCCCTCATCCTCCCAGTGCCATCTTCATCTGCAACACAACTCCATGCTAGCTCCGGCGTTTTTTTCTTCCACGGCCTTCCCAATAACCAATCGGTCACACTAACCACCCTACTTGTCTTCTCTAGATCCCCGTTTTCTTCTGCGTGCTCAATGGTGTGTGTAAGAATCCTTCCCTCCTCGTCAAATTCGAATATGAATTTCCCACAAAATTCCTCATCATCCCTCGCGTCGCCACCCAACCATTCGGTAATCTTGTCCACCTGTTCACTAGCCCCAATCCCACGATACAGCGCACCCATGCCTTTGCCTTGTGTCTTGCCACACGTTTTCCAGCGCACAACAAGGCGCTCGTTGTTGATATGGGAGTAGGTAGGTCCGTTTTTCGCTACGCGCTCACTGAGAATTATAAGCTTGACATTGCCGACAATTGGGACGCGGCCCCAAGCCATAGGGGCGGTCCAAAGGGCTGCATGGTAGGCGACGCGGCCGGAGACTGTGGGAAGGTGGGGGTGGGTCGAGGGGAAGAGGTGGAGGGTAATGTGGGGTGAGAGTATATCGGGTGGAAGGGGGGAGGCAAGGAGTGTAGGGAGGCGGGATTGTAGGATGCGGAGGGCTGTTGCGAGGAGGAAATGGGTCAGTACTTCAAGTCCTTCGAAAGAGGTGCCGAGTGAGACGTACTCTTGCCCAGCTTCAAGGTCCGCTCGTCTGGTGGTGCATCTTCAGATTTGGCCCCAGGTTGTTCGGGCGCACGACGGCGCGGACTTGAGCTCGTGAACCAGATTTCAGGAAAGATTTCGCGGTTCGACTGGACTTGTGCGAGCGAACGGCATGGTGAGCAGAAGGTGGTACGGAGCCCAAAGCCTGTAGGGCGATGCCCCGGCTTCAAGGCATATTTGTCGGCGCGGACAAATTTGGGGAAAGCTCTCCTCATCAGGGTAATAATCAAGGTAGCTCGGGATGAGACATATGGATTGTTAGGAGAGGGTGACTATCATCGTAAAGTACGCAACGAATTCCACACTAAACTACTCTATGGGTGATGAATACTCCAGCCGTGTTGAAAAGCTGCTTGCACGTGACCTTCAAATGACGTACTCTGCGCTCGCTCACGTCGGCTGTCCTATGTATAGATGATCGATTCCCACTTATCGAATCAATGTCTGCATCCCATAGATATTACCGCAGGAAATCTTGATGAGCTCTGGCTTCAGTGCAAATGACTTCGTCCATCTGTATTCAATTAGCACACAAAGTCTGGCGAGAATCCCGCGATGCCCCAGAGACTTCCGGACTGTCTTCGCAGAATCTGCCAGCCTCCAACTCGTGCTCAAGGAGGTGCAGGAGGCTGTAAACGACAATGAGCGGAATCGAAGCAAGAAATCCGATCTATCGAAAATGATAGACGGGTACCACGCCGTTTTACAAGAGCTACATGGTTTGCTGAATAATAAGTACAATAGTCCTGGGACGCAAAGCAGGAGAACCGGTGACAGAATGCGATAGAGTCAGGACCAAATCGAGGAATAGGCAGCGTGCCATATCAAATACTGGTCTGCTGACTTCATTCCACGTTGGGCTAATTGGGTATATTCCTAAGATCAGGTTATGAGATTGTGTCTGCTACTCACTCTCTTGCGCACAGCGCTGGCCAAGCTCGAATTGGGTAGCTTCTAACGCCGCTGGTATGGGAGCATCAGTCTGGACTACGCGAGTGCTCAGTCAGATCTGTGGATAATTTAGAATCAGCCGAAGAAGGCGACGAAGATGTGTGGTTTCAGATGGCTCGAAAGCTAGAAGACGTTGGCATCACTTCGACTATGGTCAATGAAAATTGTTCGTACATCACCGCTTGGATCAAAGATGCCTTGAGAAGTGGCTCTCTGGGCGAGTGTGTTCGTTCGCCAAGCTCAGACTCCCGAGCGTATCTGGCGATGAATGGTGCGCTTCGTTCCAAAGCGTCCTCGATGAGTACCACGAAATCCAACATGAGATCACAAACTCAAGTGGTTTACAGGAGAATATCCGACCGGAACCTAGCCTCTAGACGAGATACCGGTGCGCGCATACGCTCGGTGCGTCTGTACTTATCCAAATTGTTATTGACAATCCTCGCACACGGGAGCCTTGTTCGGGGCCGACCTTCTTTGACTTGCTGCCACACCTGCGAGACGTACACAGCGTGGAAGATCACTCAATTAGCGAAATTCTTTCAGGTGTAGATTTTCTTCACTGCCACCAAGATATGACCATCCACCCACCCACTTGAAGAATACTGTCCTTGTGCCTGAGGGAGTAGGCTAGATTTTCTGGGATCTGGCCGGAGCATTTGTCTGATGCTAGGCACACGGCGCCCACAGGCGACATCTAGAATGCTCCCTTTTGGAACATCATATCAGAGGGTAGCAGCCACAAAATGGGCAGAAGTGTGATCGCTTCGAGTAGACAGCCATACACAACGAAAAGTATCAACAGTTATGCATGGGTCCAATGGACGCATCGTGGGTGTACAAGATCTATGGTCTTACATAGAATAGCATGTTTGAATGCAGTCAACCATGTGGCGAGAGCGGACTATGTTCGACTCTTCGCTACCATGATGCTGCTAAATGCCATTCAAACAACCCCGGAATAAGCCGATAGTAGAATACAAGAGCCAAGCGCTTTCAGCCACATCGATCGTACACATCACGGAGCCTCTTCCTTGTGCATTTTTCTCTTCGCTCAATCCTCGCCAGGCTTGCCACCCACCCGCACCCTTTTAGTCGGTGATCCTCCATTTCTCAAACCATTTGAGATGCCTCCACTGCTTATTGTCACCCTCCATACCGAATACAATCGCCCTAAACAAGACGAACAGCCCGATGACCAGCACGTAAAGCGACCCATAAAGTGCCCACTCAATTCTCTTGTCCTTTCGCGCCAACGGCTTGGTCATCCAATCCGTAACGAATCCCATGGTCAGGATAGCAAAGTACAGTGCCGGGTAATAATGGTGAACATAAGTAACACGCGCCATAGCCACAAACGGTAGATAGTGGAGAAACCAGCCTACAACGGGATAAAGTCCGGCGTAATGAATTTGGTCAATCTCCGAAGGTTTGAGCTCGTCATATCCGCGTTGCCAGCGGACGAGATACCATGCCATCATTGCGCCAAAGACACCAAGCGAGAGGGTGCTGCCCCAATAGACAACGGGGTTGCCAAGGAGGAAGTACTTGACGATGTGATTGTCCCAGCCGCACATACGAAGGCCGACGTTCAGGATAGGCCACTGCCAAAATTGAGAAGCGAGGTCATCTTGTTTGTCGGGATCAGGCACCAAGGCGTTGTTGGACGTCATCATCGCTACGTTAAGGTGCATGAAGTCGCGTAAGAATGGGGACTTGTAAGATCCAGGGTCACCGGCCCGTACTGTGCGAATTCATCAGTATATCATTGTGAATAAAACACAGCAAAAACTCACGTCTTTCGTTCCAATGAGACTCGACGTTCCAATGGGTGTATACATCTCGAGGCTTGTTCTCTTTCGCACAAGTGACTTCAATCTGCTTGAAACCCCACTGCGGAAGATTGACGTTCCCAGCGCGCAGATAGCAGCCCAGAGATGTGTGCCTCAGCCTAAAGGATGTCGTCAACGTCCTAATTTTGGACCAGTCTCTCGAAGCTGCATCATCTACGACCTCAACAGTCCAATGATCTTTGTCGTCACCGATCGTAGTATTGCCATATGACGAGACCTCGTTGTCACTTTTGGTCACAGGAGCGGAAACCGCGTGCGAGTGCAGATTGCGACCTGTCTGAGAATGGATCATGCGGAGGACATGGCCGTCTCCAACGAAGCTAATAGGCTGCTCTGGGTCGTACAAAGGCATACTCCGATTTGGATAGAAGAACCAGTCGTTATTGGCATCCTTGTGATGGTAGCAAGTCACCTGCTGCTGTTGAGATCCCTCGGGGTATGTTTGAACGTGGGAATGCAGTAGACCGCCGCCATAGCCCATGTTTTTCAGTGTAGCTCTTGAACCATAAGCAACCTCCAGTGGGCTATCCTTTCCGACATCGGTGCCTTTCAGATTTGCCTGGAACAGCGAGCTCATCTGCGCATCTCCTGGGCCGCTGTTTTCCAAGATAAGGAAGTGGACCCAGAACGAAAACATGTATACAAGTAGAGGGAGGACGATAAGGCCAAAGGCCCTAGCCACGAGGTGCTGGCCTAGTTCAACCTATGATCCATTAGTCTTTTCACCATCATATTTCTTGGGCGCGCTTTTTTACCTTTGGCATTTTGACATCTCCGAACTTATTCCACAGGTCTTCAATTGTGTAAAATCCAACCAGGGCTGTGCCAAACATTCCCACCCACTTGACGCTGCACACACATCCAATGCTGATTCCACACAGAAACAGCCAGGTGAACCATTCAATAGAAAAGCTTTGATCCCTCAACCTATGGAATCTTGCCCAGCAAAGAACGGTGGTAAATGTAAAGCAGAGGAGCATCGAGTCTAACAGGATGAATCTCGAGATCGTTGCATAAGAGTTCTCGAAAAGCACGGCCATTGTCACCAACCAAACGGTCGATCGTCTGAAACTCATCTCCTTAGCCGTGAAGTATGCTAGGGGTACGCACACAGCACCAAATGCCGAGTTGAAGAGACGCATGAAAGTATAATTGAGCTCCTCTGGGTATTTCTCGCCGGATTTGAATTCAAACGAGCCGTTGTAGCCAGCCAGCAGGCCGGAAAGGCCAACCAGCATTTTTCCCAGAGGAGGATGTACATCGAAATAGAACTCTCGTTTCAAGTAGTGGGAGCCGAACTTTCCAAAGCTGTACGAAGACGGGCCATTAGTATCGACCTTCGAATTTTCCCCAGTCCCCAACGTGGAGCCTAGACTTACTGAGCTTCGTCCCAGGTCACGATATCTGACAGACCTATCTTGTACATCCTTGTGAAGAAAGCAAGTACTGTGAAGATCAAAGGTGCAATGATGAATTCATATTCGTCTAGCGTAGATAAAATTGAGAGAGACTGCGATTTGGGCTGAAGCAAAACTTGTTAATGCAACCACTTCGGTGTAATACCAGCCATTCAACCGCACCTTCTGGGATTTCTTGTCGTCAACCTCCTCCTCAGAAGATGTGAGGGCGCTGTTCTGTCCACCAGGAACGTTTCTTCTCCTTAGATCTGCACCATCTTGTGCTGTCCCCGACGCATGAACGTCCTTGTTGCTCGTCATTGTGCGGTAAAGAGCCAGCAAGTGCTGTTGCCTTCCAATTCTGAGAAGTCAATATGGCGAATGCGGCTTTGGTCTGGGTAGGAACGTCGAAGCAAGGGGGGCAGCTGGAAAAGGAGCGTGAAGAAGCGTTTAACTATAAGGACTTTACGTTGTCATGGGCAAAGTCTTGGATGATGCAAGACACCTCTGCTTCCAGGCTTCTGTCGGAGAAGGATAGAATCGAGATTTTGAAACGTGTCGTTCCAGAATTCCCAATTACGAGGCTCATACGCCGTTAAAGTGATAATTAAGGCTGACCCTACTTTTGTCCTGGGCGCTAGCACGATTGATGTCGATTAGAATGGCAGACGCTACTGCGGGACTACTGCAAGCCACTTGCGCAGTCATCTCCACTAACCCCTATATAGAATAGGAGGTAAACAATGGAGACGCGCTCATGCCTCGCTCCCATGCTTTCGTCCCATGTTTCTTTCATGTCATCGTCGCTTTCTACCACCTTCTATCATTGTCGACTCCCTCTCCACCCTCCACAGCCCAAATTGCCTAGCACATAGCCGGGATTATGTCGCTGAATACCCTCATCTTCAGAAGCTTCCGACGCCCGTCCAAGCCCTCCTTGCGGATGAGATCACCGCGGCAGGTGATCTCATTATGGCTTCGAACGAGTTGAAAGAGCTGGATGACGAGACTCACTGCGATTGCGAGTTCTTTCGCAGATACCAGCTACCGTGTCGCGATATTTGGGCTTAACATCAGCTCTTTGGGACGCTGAAAGAGGAGGATTTTGACCGCTGGGCGTTCATGTGGGAGGACTCGGGCTTTGAGCTCTATGAGGGTATCACCTCGGAATACTACGAGAGGGGTATCGACGGTGAGATTGGGGCGCCGGCGAGGCGTCGACTTGATATGAGGGAGGCTCTGGATACTGTTCGTTTTAAGTACTACGATTTGGAAGAGTCAGTGGAGCACCTTCCTCCAGCTGAGGCCGATCGAGTCATGAAGTGGTGGATCGCCAAACTCTATGGGCATAGCGGACTTTCAGGAGGAGGTGCAGGCCAAGCATGGGGTGGTGGAAGGGGCAAAGAATCCTCTGGGGGGTCTCTACGACTGTGGATATGGGAACGACGGTAGCGACGTTAATCAATGAATTATACAGCCTCAAATGTACCTAATTGAGTGACAGCGAATTGCCAGAAGATCAGACGATTGTTGATACGATGTTTGCCTGAGTTGCACGCGTCTCCATTGTTTACCTCCTATTCTATATGAGGAATGGTGGAGAAGACTGCGCGTGTGGCTTGCAGTAGCCTGCAGTAGCGTCTGCCATTCTAATCGGGACAGCACGATTGAGCAAAGCCGGAAAGCTTGGCAAAAATCTGGCGAACGAGGCTGACTTGAAATAAAAAGCACCGCAACACCATTGTACCAGCGCCATTAGGAATCAAACCTAATACGAACTAAATACCTCCAACCACATGACTTTGGCGAGATATGAAGATAAAAACCTTCCATATTTCCTTTACCACAAATTGGGCCTGCATCCACTTCTTTTGGCAGATCTAGCTGTGACCGGACCACTTCCAAGTCGACGAAACGTGCAAATCATCGCCCATCACGAAAATTGATAATGGTCAGCCGCGAAGATATTCTGCATCTTTTACAGCAGAACATCACCGGCAACTTCGTAGAAGTCAGACCTTGAGTGTTCTATCCCATGTGCTCCTATAGAACACTGTAGATACAAAGTTCTGCTCAAGCATAAACAAGCCATCAAACCGTTCTAAAGGTGTGGCGCTGGGAATCATTCTTCCACTCCAAATTTTCCATGCAAAGGGAACTCTCTATATTCTCCTTTCCTGTTGGGCCGAGCAGATTGAAGTAAAACCTCATTGAGCTCAGTCATCATCTTGACCCAGACGGCCATAATCGCCCCCACCTTTACCCTCGCCTTTCGTCCTTTGTACCATTCTTGATATCCACCCTCCAAGCCCTTCACTACTCGCCGGCGCGTCAGGCGGAAGCCGAGGCTTGCCGTTTTCCACCGGAACGGATGGCGGATTAATGTCAAGACCCGGAATTGCATTGTCTGCTGTAAAATTACCAGGCCCCCCACGCCTAATGTCAAGCGATGGCACGGGGGATCGGTTGCCACTCATCAGAGATTCAACCTCTGCGTGTTGAGCAGGAGTCGGCATCGCCGTGGTAGCGTCGCCGAAGAGTTGGTCCATGTCTTCGAGTCGCACGTTGGCGGTTTCAGGGTAGAGAAAATATACTACGGATGGTCAACACAGACATTACTGGGGTTTGATGATATTGAGAACGGAGACACCATACCGAGAACAAAACTGACAGCGCAGAAAAACGCATGTACGAGATATAACCGCCATTTAATCCATTCTTGTAAGACTGGCGTCAACTCACCCACAATCCAATTGCACGCCCAATTGGATGCTGTACTCAGGCTTGCTCCTTTGGCTCTGATGCTCAGCGGCAGGATTTCTGGTGGGTAAAGCCATGGTATGGGGCCCCAGGAAGCACCGAAAGCGGCATTGTAGATCATGACGAAGATGACGGTTAGTACTGGGGTGTAATGTATGTCGATGAAGATGAAGTATGATATGGCGGAAAGCGAAATGATCATAGCAATGGCTCCAGAAAGAAGGATCAAGCGTCGACCCCATCTGTCCACAAGGTACCATGGAGGAACGGTCGAGAGTAGGTAGGTAATGCCGTTGATTCCGGTCATAAGGATAGCATCACGGCCGACCCATCCGGCCGACTCGAATACGAGAGGTGCGTAGTAGGAAATGACGTTGATGCCGTTCAGCTGTGCCAAACCCTGCGCGGACATGGCGATGAAGAGCCGCTTGTAGTATTTCCTGAACATTTCATAGTACGACCTTTCCCCTTCCTGTCGCTGGAGGAGAACGTCCATCTTGATCTCCCGGTACTCTTGGCGAGCCTTGTCATTGTGAATGTCTCCGCCACCGTATAGGTTGGCAATCACTACAATACCTTCTTCATCGTGATCATTATCCAACAGCCACCTATACCGAGTTGGTCAATCACACGCCACGACTTGCAGTCTAGGGGCGACTGACCTTGGCGACTCGCAGATGATCAGACTACCCAGACCTAGGAGGAGACCCATGAAGCACTGAAGCAGCAGCGGGATCCGCCATGCATAATCACTCGGTATAAAGCTACAGAAATAGTCCACCCACACGCTGGCGGCGTAGCCGCTTATGTTGCCAGTGAATTCGATGCAAGCAAGCTTCCCTCTGTTGTGTGGGGGAGATATCTCGGATTGGTAGACAGGCACAATTGTCGACAAGGCCCCCACGCCCAGACCGGCGATGATTCTCCCAAGAATCATCATCGGCATGCCGTTTGCAAACGTCTGGAGAGCTCCACCCACAAAGAAGATCATTGAGCCAAACAGTATGGTTCTCCGACGGCCGATCATATCTCCTATTCTTCCAACGCAGAGAGATGCAATGAACGCGCCGACCTCGAGAATGGCCACCATTGTCCCTATTTCGGCTTTTGTAGGCTGATTGAAATAATCTTTAAAGTACGAACCTCTGCGTGTGTTGACATCGATCAGCCAAAGATTCCATTGAAGGGGGACCCGGCGTCCTACGTTATGATTCCAGACATCACGCCTTGATCATATCCAAACAGAAAAACTCCTACGGATACAAACACACTAGTGAAGTATCTGCGGTACGTCAACACTGATCCTCAATCATGGAACATTTCATGGAACATACAGCAACGGCTTCCCTGTCAAGCCATGCATCTGGCTTCTCTGTCGGTCGCCCGTCATGATGATGGCGAGGGCTTTCTCTGTGCGTCCGATCTGCCTCGCCGGAGGGTTCGGTATTTCAATAGCCTCTTTACTGAGTCCAGGATTGGTAGCCTTATGCTCTAAATGGATATGCTGTGAGTAATGAACGTGCTTAGGCCGCCGGTGTAATGGGCGTGGGTTGGATCTGCCGATGCCCTGGTGGTCTCCCGACTCCCGTAGACGTATGCGTAAAGGATCCTCCTCGTCGGCAAGCTGTTCGGCAAGGTCGCCAGTATCACTCCAGAGTGAAAAGTCAGAACCCGCAGAATCGGAGGAGTGCCGATTAACCTTCTTCTCGTTGAGCAATGCGGCCGAATCCTCCGCTCTTGACTGAAAGGGAGATGCTAGGGTGCGGAGAGGGATAGTAGCAGAGTCGTAAGGCTTTGAGGAAGGAATTGTGACGGTTGTTGAGGGCAGTAGCCCGTCTGATGGGTTAATCGATTTGGTCCTAGGAGAAATGCGTTGTGGGACGCGGGGGAGGCTTCCTGGAATGGAGCGGGCGACTTGCGCGCTCTCTGCTGAGCAAATAAGATCACGACAGGCGTAGATCACACAGCACTGGACAAGCTGCTGGTTCCTTTCGTTTTTGAAGCTGGTGGGCGAAAAAAAGACGAGTGACTTTGTCACAAGACCCGGTTAATATGCTGTCGTTGGGCGAATAAGTTTGGCAGTTCAAGTTGCAGTGTTAGTGAGTGAGTGAGAAGCCACGGTAATAATGCTTGCTCTTCTCTTAGTGTCATGCAAAACCGTCTTCGCGTTCGCGGCGATTCTTTTCGTCCTGTTCGCTACTTCTATGGTAATAAGTCTTTGTAGAGTCGGCCTGTCCGATCCAAGTCTAGGGTATTCAATGTACGGTTAAAGTAATGGACACAGTCCATGATGAGCTTGTCGATTACGGTAATAGACCTAATGAAGCAAGCTAGGTGTACAGACTACAAAGACCCTCTATAATATAACAAGGAAAGGACAGGGTCCAAATTCCCATTACCCAAGTGCTCTACTGTCTAGAGGTAAGTTCCAGTGTCCCCCACGGCGCGGGTGTGAGATTGATGAAGCTCAGAATACCACCCTACGGACGACATAGTTATTGCTTGCAAAAGCGGCCGCGAGGGGCTAGATGGGGTGTGGCTGGCGAGCCTCCACGCTGGAGCACGACCCTGCATAAGGCAAGCATGTACCTTCGTACCTACCGAGTACCTTTCCCCTCGGTTTTATAGTCTCTTCGTGAAAACCCACCTGAGCGGCGACCCCACGCATCATCATATTGAGAAGGCCAGCTAACGTCAAGAGGTCTCAGAGACTAGCCTTTCCAAGGGTTTTCTCATCTATCCTTGGCACTGAAGGTGGCGAACCTACGGTCAAGTCTGTGCAGGTGCTAAAAGAGCATGTGGGGACCCTCAATATAAAATCGTAGAAGTCCTGTAATTTAGGCGCGATACCAGAAAAAGGTGATAATTCTCTTTAATATCTCCTGAAAAGCGCCATTCTATCTATAAGAGAGTTAATGATTTATACATTTGATTTCCTTTTTCAATGTCTTCTGATAGAAAGATTTATCTTGTTCTAATTGATCATTATAAAATATAGACAAAGACAAAGAAAAAGAACTTATCCAATCTCACGCAAAGAAGCAAGGGAGGCAATTATATGTTCAAGGATGTGAAGCATGAAGGCGAATATAAGAACACACACGGTCTCAGTCTAGTATACGAGTATGTCATGGTACCTGTTCCTATTTTGGTAGCATACTTGCAGAGAGGGGTGGGATTGAGCCACGTGGCTATTCAATATTCAATTGATTTGTCCCTCCAAAAATGAAAGTTCTGACGTCTTCTAACGACAACAAACAGTGTCTAGGACTGCAAAGAATAGGATCAGTCATTTTCTGATGGAATAGATTCAATCAATTCTCCTGCTTCCCGGAGCTTAATTTTCACCACAGACGCCGCTTTCCTCTGTCTTCCTGAGTATTAGGTAACATAGCTTCTGGCGAGCGGTACTCCATGACCCTGACAACAACTCGGCGCCGGCATGCAACGATTTGGTAGTCCATTGTAGAACTAAAGGGGAAAGATTTAGAGTCCGTAGATCCAACGGAGAACATGATGTGTTGGCATCGGTACGTGATTGGTAAGAAAGGGACCCATTGCCTTTTGATTTAGAGAAGATGAATATCAGCTTGAAATCCCCAGGTTGCTGTGGAGTGTTGAAGATCGAACCGAGGGAACCCCGAGTCCCCAAGAGGTTGAGTTGTCAGGTCCGTGGCGTCACTCGCAACATCCGAGGGATCGCTTCACCAGCCACTTCAAGTCGCGCCTCTCATCTCATTTCCCTTCCCGCAAAGCAATCTCCCCTGCAAGTCAGACATTCATTCTCTAGGTAAAGTATTCTCTCCCACCTTCTACCGTATTCGATTCACGCCGACATTGACCCTCGTCGCCATCAAAAGTAGCACTTCTCTCTCTCTTGAACTCCGATCTCTTAGGGTGGTGCTACTCGTTGAAGGTGCAGAGGCTCCGTCACCGTCCCGCAGCTGCCCTGCCGATCTCGCGCGTCGCTCCTTTCTTGTTTTTAATAACAGGCCACTGACAGACACTCGCTCCTGCACCGACAAGCCGACTCTGCAGCCATTGACTCCTCCAGTGCGACGTCAAAACCTTCAAACACAGTAAGGCTACTATCTGCGTCTTTGAGCAACTGTCGTCATTCCGTGGTTACCATCTATGGGAGTAGGGAGTCGGCGAAAGTGGACAGCACGCACCCTCCAACAACCTTACGATGGGTTCCACACAATTCGGCAACTTTCACGTACGAAGCGCACCGCAAATTCCTCAAATTCGGTTGGCTGACCTGCGCAGAATTTCTGTCGAGACTCCACTCTCCCAATATGCAACGTAAGTTTACTCTGAAGCGAACCCTTACCTACTCGACCTTGGAAACGGCTGCGACTCGGTATCACAACAGATGCTGACTTAGACCACAGCTGTTCAGTGAGTCGCCGACACAAAGTGGCACTGGCAGTCAATTAGGAGGATATGGGTTCGGAGGGTGTGGTTTGACAGGCATAACACTCAGCCATGATCGAAATTTATCGAACCTCGGTATGTGCGTATAGACCATAGGAATTTCATCAGTACTGACAGCTTGTAGGGTCAATATTGCTTTGTGGGCTAGCCATCTTAGTGACCACCGTCCTCCTATGGAGAGCAGACAGGAAGCAAGCTGCAGTAGGCCGAAGGTATGGTCTGTCCTGCCAGCTTCTGCCCGCTGCTGACAATGCACAGAGAGTTCCAGCTGTTCCTCGTTGGCTACATAATTGTTGAGATATGTGAGATATTCACAGTGGGCGGTTTTCCCCTGGAACGTAAAGTTAGGCTCGTACGGCTTTTTCCTCCTCCAGCTATGCGCTTCAACTATGCTAACATTTGTAGGGTTTTACTGCTGTTCATCTCGGTTCGATCGTTGCAACTCTATGGGTTTTGCTCTTAAATGGTATTGTCGGCTTCCAAATTCTGGATGATGGCACACCTATATCCCTGGGATTGATACTTTTGTCCGGAATCGCATTCTTCGTTGGCACGGGTTACATAGCTCTCGACACCGCTTTCAGCTACACCCACACGTTTGTGCCCAGTCTCTTAGGGCCGGATAATCGAAACATTGCCCTCTACGTGCTCTATCAATTATGGCCTCTGATATGCTTGGCGGGGTTCTTCCTTTTAGAGACAGTTCTTGTCCTGAGAGTACTTGGGGAGAAAAAGCCGATGTGTATGTGGTGCCCCATCTAAATCAGTGCCTGTAATATACTTACATTAAATCTAGTATATCTCGTGGCGGCGGCGCTGTTGTTTGCTATCGGCCAAATCTTCCAATACGTCATCAGCACTCACATCTGTCGAGGAACCAATGGCAAGATCGACGGCGCACTCTTCGAAACGTTATTCACGCTTCTATCCGTCGTCATGATATGGGTCTTCTGGTCAAGTATAACGGAAGACGACTGGCCTATGCCGACATCAGGGGAGAGCACGTATACATAATGGCACTACTCCCGAGTATCTTCCTTCTTATGTGATGATTGATGTTACTTTAGCGCATTAGCTCTCATGATTATCTTGCATCTCCTTAGTGTGTACAAACATAATAAATAAGTCACTGCACGATCTTGGGAAGGCCAGGCTCCGCTTATTTACGAAGTGGGACTTGAAGCGGATGTGCTGGAAAAGAGGGCGGAGGAATCAGGTGTGATAATGCTGGCGGGAGAAACGTAGTTGTACAATACAAAACAGAAAAATGTACACGTTAATCGTACACGTTAATCAGCTACAACCTCTCATATTCTCGCGGTATTGATCAGAAAAAGGAAGTTGGAAAAGGAACCAACCCGTGGAGGTTCCTGGTGGCTATCGGTCTGGGCGAGAATGTTTCTCTGCCAAGCCTCACGAAATGTACGAGTAGGCCTAATCTTTATAATGCTTTCGAGTCCGACAATCAGCGAGGTAGCCACGTTGAAATCTTCCCAACCTGATTCTTTTGCGAACCTCATCGTTGCACCATGCATTGCATATCAACCCACCTTGTTCAGTAACGATGAAAAGGATTCGGGTACCGGTAAGTTCCGCCAATCTTGGACCTGGCTTCGATGTTTCCGGTCTTGCTGTCCGGTCCGCACCGTCCGCTTCTCAGTCCCAAAGATGGCTCCATTCAATTGCGAGATTGTATGCGAAGGCGAGGGTGCAGAAAGTCTTAGCTGTACTGTCGACGAGAATTTAATTACGAAACTAGCGCTTCAAAAACTATCAGAAGCCCAGGATATTCGTTATGATTGGCAGATCCTAGAGCTAGCTCCAGATGGAGCTATTTGTGATAATTCAATGCAGGGCGCGATACAACGCCGAGACTCTTCTTCAGACACGCAACCTCCCTCGGCGGTCAAAGTGTCGGAAACCAACCCAAGTTAGACTCCACAACAAACGATGTAGGGATTGGCCTGTCAATATCCTCTTTGAGCAAACCGAATAAGACTGAGCAAATAGACGACAATTCGCGAGTCCAAGAATCATGTCGCCTAGCGCAGTAAAGTTAAGTACATCACAGACAAGTTCACTGAGCGAACGGAGTGGGACAAAATAATGCAGCAGAACAACCTTTCTCCAGCCGAAGTGCGCGAAATCATTCGAATTGGTATCGGTGACGACCAAGGGACGGTGCAGAAGACCTTCCTCTCCGACCTTACCATAGCGGGCGTGATTGCGAAAATTAGGATCATAAGACGTCGATCACAAAGAAAGGCAAGCAATACACATACGCTATGCACTTCATCGCCCCCTTGAACATTCAATTATGCGAGTTCAGGAAGTCATCAAAGGCGGTGACACTCAGTCCTCAATCAAAGTAGGCACGCGTTCAATGTCCTAATATCACCAGCATTGACGATGACTGGGCAATCCACGGCATGCATAATATACAAAAAGGAAGCACCGATCGCCAAAGCAGAATGCGCATATCCGCCGCATACACTCACAGGATGTTTGCAGAATTTTCTTCGGGTTCGAGAGAAGTACAGGTGAGTATGGACGACCAAATGCTTAGATGCATATTTCTGACCATGTGGACAGGTCCTCGGCAGCTTCGAGATATTTTCCGCCCAAGTTGCCCAGCATATAATGGGGAGTTGGTCTACACCCTCGCGAGAGCCCTAATGGCTCCTCTTCGCGCATTACGCTCTCACCGGACATCAACCTGAACTCTAGGTCAGGAGCTTCAAATGTGTGCAGTGTGATAGAGGAGGCCGCAGATTTCCGGAATACTCCAGCATCACGGGGCTCTAGCGCAGGAGGAAGTGGAGATGAGGGAGGTGAATATGAAAAAGATGCGGGTGAGGAGCCTGCAGACGACTTAGGAGTCTTAGATGAGGAATACGGATTATCGACCGATGCTATGAGTTCCAGCGCTTCCATGTCGCGCTGCACAAGCATCGACAGCATGGATCATCTCGATAACACTAATCGGGATTCAACCGTTCGTGAAATTGGTGGAGCCAGTATGCCACTCTGGACTAATAATCTGGTACACGCTTCTCAGTCGCCAGCGGTCACGGATCGAGTGATGTCCAGTATGTTTGCATATGTCGAATTGTTCCAAGTATACTGATCTTGCTTATCGCTTTGACGCGCAGAACGCGAGCGCCCTGATACAAATGGTATTCCTGCATACTCAGCTAGCAACTTGCAAATGCCATCTGCTTCACTCATCAGCAATTTGAGGGCATGTAATCGGCCACGTGCCTCAAGATTTGGTAAGCTATCAGGGCTGGAATCACGAAATATATGACGACTAACGTCACATAGAGCTCGACAGAATTCCTTCATCAAACATACCCGACTCCACAACGGTCTCTACTTCTCGCAACGGCACCTCACTTATACCAGCAGGGTATGAAGTCTCATCTTTTCTGCGATTTTCCAACAGAAACACCAGCAAATTATGCATGGCAGGTAGTGTCTTGCGACTTATCCTGGATGGATTGAATGCGCATCGTCTACAGTCCAGAAAGTCCTGTTGAAGCGGACCAAGTCTTCATCTCCAAAAAGGTGCTTTGTTCGATGTTGGTTTGTAATCAATCCCTCTGCTGGAAGACTTTGGCGTATCCACTGAAATGAATTATTTGATCTGCTATATGCGGCACAAGAGATGGACTCGCAGCTTTGATTGCAGCTTTGTCATCAGTGTCCTAAACAGTGCCACATCTAGCTTTCAATGCAGCAAAGAACCGATCAGTGTTTGCGGTTAAGGAATCCACTGTCATCCTTTCCGCCAATCTTCCCTTACTCGTGTGTGCAAGATACCGCAAGAAGCCTTTTGTAGTCGCCAGGCTTGGATTCGGGCTGACCTCCTGAAATGCTGGATGGTTTTCGGTATATATATCCGATCCGAGGAAAAGGGGAGGGAGGAGGAGTAGCAAGAGTCCCTTCCCTTGAACGGGCAAGATGCTCTAAGCCATCAATCCAGCTATTGAACTTTGGTTAGCGGGCGTGTATCCAACCGAAAGAACTCTCTGGTAGACGTAGACATACTCGACATACCCCTGTATGATGTATGCATGGTCTCTTAAAGTCTTCGGTCCATGCGACTGAATTATTCTTGAGTTATCCACTCTAAGATGACCCTTTGGGACGTCGGCACCGTGATCTATAGCATGTGCCAATTGCTCTTGAGGAAAAAGTCGCCGGCCCATCCTGATGGAACGCAGATTTCTTGTGGAAAAGATGGAGGTAAAGAGGGGATTGGGGGAGTGTCTATGAATCTCAGCCAACGCCTGAGCCTGGGGCGGCGTCTCGAGAGCCAGTAGTCGCATGCATGATGCTATGGTTGAAGTGAAGAGGAAGGGGGCATGAAGGAGGGGGGAAGTGGGGGGAAGGGGGGGTGTCAAGGTGGCGTGGTGGCTCTGAAGCAGGGAGTTTCTCGGGCGATAAAGCGGCAGCCGTCGGAAGATCTCCGCCTGAGCTTGGGGCAGATTTTGCCACCATCTCGACACAGGCCTAGCGTGGTCTTGGCACCGCAACTCCGTCTATTTGTACCTGTTTTCATCATGTAGAGAATCAATTAACTATTATATACATCATGAATCCATAGACCAAGTCTTGATTTCTTGACAGATTTCTACTATCTTATCTCGCCAAGTAATTAGGAATGTACCCCGATGTCACCGCTCTTTTGGTGAGCGGAGATTTCTGCGCTGCCCTAACCACCCGAGCATTTTAGCCGCTATTACAACGGAGAAATATATAACATCACAGCTACAATTCGTGGAAGGTGGCCGAGTGGTTAATTATTGCGAGTGACTCAAAAATTGAATTCTTTGACCTGGGTTCTACCTGGTTGTTGCATCTCATATAGGCTTGGGAGACTAGAATACATATTCCACTACCACACATCACCATAATGCCGACTTGATACGTTTACCACCTATTTCTACTAGCATTCGACATCGCCAAGGCATTTCACGGATACGAGACCGGACTTCCTCCATTTCTATCCCCTCAAATTCTTCCATAATCACCTTAATCAACTCCGCCTTGTTCCGTCTTTGTCGACGATGTACACGGGCCTTCAATACATTCCAGACACCTTCTTTAGGATTGAGATCGTGTGATTGAGCTGGATGTTGTAGAGTCTCAATCCAGTTCTCGTCACGTAGCTGATTGGCCCGGCCTACTGGTCCAGATTTCTTGCCATGACTGGGATCCCCATCCTCCATTAGAATACCTCGGCCTTTACTTTATCCCGGTGCATGTACACGTAATTCATGAACTTGTTGAATATGGCCTGGAAGAAGCTCGTCCACGTAGTAATTCTAAGTCATAGAGTTGCCTTTTTCTTTGATTTCGGGCTCGTGAGGCAAGGATTCTTTCCAGAGTTCGATTCGTTCCTCATACTCTGGAGTGGTCTCACGTTTCGGACATCGTGTAGGCTTTCGAGGCTTCTGAATCTTCACTGCAGGAGGATCATAGACAGATCCGGATATGTGCACTGAACAGGGCTCCAGATCCGGCCGAGATTCCATATTTTCCACATCATATCGAGTACCTATTTCACGCAGTACACGTCCTTGTGGCTGAGCGTTTCGTGAAAAATGAGCTTCGTCTGGTGTAGGTAGAGCGTGTCATGAAACCTAATTGGAAAGCTTGCTTTCTCGACTTGAGATCCCAAATGGCTTCTACGCTAAGAGGCTAGTAACCAATCAGATCATCGGAGTTTACGATTCCTAGTCTAAAACACACCTTATTTCTTCATTTTTGATCTAATCACGGATATAAACGGGTACGTCCAAAAGAGGAAGCTGAAAAAGATCTTCAAAATCTTCAAATCTACCTTTCTTAATTCCTTTTCTTTTATCAAAAATATAATAACAAAGTAAGTTTATAGAGTTATAGAATTAATTATACGCTTTTGAATAATATAGCGTAGACGAAATTTGATAAATCATATAACTATGAGGTATTGATTGATCTTCCCACGGTATCGACAAGCTTTCCACTACTGGGAAGCCCACGCCCCAGCACATATTTATTCCCGATGGAATATCGCGGGGTTGAAGATCTTGTAGGATAGGAGAATGTCGTAGGGTAAGAGAGTGTTGTAGGGTTGGAGAATTTTGCGGGGTTAAGATGTCGTAGGAGAGAAGAATATCGTAGAGTAAGAGAGTAAGTTATCGTAGGAGGGGAGAATATTATAGTATAGGAGGCTATCGTACGGTAGACGTCTATCGTAGGGTAAAAGAGTACCGTAGAGTAAGTAATATTTATCCATCTCTGCTCACCTACCTAGGTCATCTAACTCACTCACCCCCATGCGACCTTCTAGGTGCCAAGCAACAAATCAGCTCCACTCTTTATCGCATCTGAACCTGTGGGACATGGCCACACTGCCTTGCCATGAATTCTGCTGATAATATTTTTTTCTACTCGTCATCATGGCCGAATCCGACGACGAGTACGTGCAAGACATCTCCGACGAGGATATAGAAGCCCATCAAGTCACCCGGGGTGCTGGGGCGGGCTCAAGGGTGACCGGACAGGGCAGTCGAGGAGCAGGATGGGAGGTAACCCGCACATGGGAGAACGTTGTAGAAGGCGCGGATGGCACAATCAGTTCCACAGTCGAGGGACTTCTTGAGGCAGGCAAGAGGAAGAGGTGAGAAGCACAGGGTGAAACTCACTGCGATTGAACGCAAGAGGAGCTGCATTTCTAATTTGGATGGAGCTATATAGGCTGCTCAAAGACACCACACCCCTCCAGAGAGGCATCATCCGCCATCTGCTCCTTGTTCTCGACCTTTCAAATGCCATGTCCGACAAGGACTTGCGCCCAACCCGCTACCTCCTCACTCTCCGCTACACCATAAACTTCATCACCGAATTCTTCGAGCAGAACCCTATCTCTCAACTCGGGATAATAGGCACACGCGATGGTCTTGCGCTCACGATATCATCCCTTTCAGGTAATCCAAACGACCATATCTCCAACATCCAGAAATTGCATGAGCAGGAACCAAAAGGTCAACCTTCTCTCCAGAACGCCCTCGATATGGCTCGTGCCGCTCTCTTTCATGCGCCTACACATACGACCCGCGAGGTCTTGATCCTCTTTGGCTCCCTTCTCTCCTCCGACCCGGGTGATATACATGCCACTATTTCCGCCCTTGTCTCCTCCCACATAACTGTCACAATCATCGGTCTCGCCGCCCAAGTCGCCATCTGCCTCACCCTGGCCACCCGCACAAATCCCTCACTACCTCCAAGCCAAACATACAACGTCGCTCTCAATGAAATCCATTACCGCGACCTGCTCATGCGCGCAACCACCCCTCCAACCACGCCCCATTCCACCACTGAGCGCAGTGGAGTTGAAAGCAGTCTACTCATGATGGGCTTTCCGAGCAGGATCGTCGACCCAAGTCCTACACTATGCGCATGTCATTCACGTCCCACGCGTGGCGGCTATCTCTGCTCTCGCTGCAGCAGCAAGGTCTGCTCGCTACCAACACAATGTCCAGCATGCGGCCTCACCCTCATCTTAAGCACGCATCTAGCACGCAGCTACCACCACTTGTTCCCCTTACGCAATTGGCGAGAAGTCACCTGGGCACGCGCAAACGAATCGGGTCAAAAGGTCTGCTTTGGCTGCCAGGCACCGTTCCCTGAACGACCTGCCTCACTGCGGCGCCAGAGTACCTCTGGCGCGCAGAACCATGTTCGGATGTCGCTTGCTACTTCGCGGAGCCAACCTCACCCTCCGAAAGCTGTGCATACTAGTACTGCGAGTAAGGATGGGGTATCCGAGTCTGGACGGTATGAATGCGAAAATTGTGGAAGATTCTTCTGTATTGACTGCGACGTATTTGCACACGAGGTTGTCCATAATTGTCCCGGATGTCAGAGTCGGGAAGGGATCTTGACTGCTGGGACTGGGAAGGGAGTAGGTCAGACGGAGGTGGTGGTTGAGGAGATGACCGGTGAAACGGCTTCCTAGGGGCAGTTTTGTGTGACTTGGAAGGCGGAGAGCGGAATAGCGGAGCCGTAGGATGTTTGAAGTCACGAAAGCGGCATTGAAAAGCGTTGGATACATGGATGATACCATTGACTTGCATGAAGCCGCCTTGAAGATGTGATCGAGAACCAGACGTCCTACCGAGTAGATGTCTAATATTTATAGGCCAACCCTCAGAATCCTGACGTTGCAGAAGAGTCCTGAAAGCTCTCCTCTTGCACGACTGTGGCTCCTTCCCCTTCGTCTGCATCAATTCGTGGAGACACGTCCTCATAATAGATCAGAATGAAGCTTATAACCACTCTCAATTTCCCACTTTGGCCTCCTTGCGATTCATCAGAGCAGGCCTAATAGACCTTGTCCACCATGAATTAGAGAAAAGATGGAGCTTTTAAAGTTCATCACACTCTTGATAGATCTGGGTTAATCCTCTCCACGAGTATTAGATTCAAGCCATTACAAATGTATTGAATTACCAGATTTCTAGAAAAGCCCCTCTCTGTCTTCATCATTTTCCAATCTCTCGTGGCTCTCTCGGTGTTTGGAAACTTAACCCTCGTCCCTCGCCATTTACGGAAATCGAGCTCGTGCAATTCCATTGACTTCGGAAACATGGTAAGTACTCCTCGCGATCCACTGAAGTCAAACTCGTGCAACTCCAGAAGGAAAAGGCGCCATCAGATGCACGTTCCTTGAAGATCGTAGGTGGATGTTGGATAGCAGCGACATGGCAGGTGCCCAACCATTCGTACGCCTATTCTGGGTGTAAGTCGTGGTCTTGTTGACGTCTCGGGGAACAACCACACGCTTAAAATTTCAATTTCGGTTTTGCGCCCAGATTCTTCCTGTCAGGGGCAGTGAATCGAAATTAGCAAATAGCCGTCTCACATTACAGCATCCAATACTCTTCGCTTGATCGTCCTCAGCTCTTCCTCCTTTTCCAGCAGCCTTTTCTTCAATGTCAGCGCTCTCCGCTTCCAGTCAATGTTCTCTTCCTCTTCGTTCCCGTCATCCTCCCCATCTTCTTCGGAGATCTCATCCAAGTCGTTGAAGAATTCGACGGATGACCTCCGTTCATGGTTCACAGACGCTTGCCGATTACTCTCACCATTGATAAGAACTCTAGGTGGCGTGGCAAGCCGCACAGGTCCGCCAGAATGCTCCGGTACTTGAAGCTGCAATTTGTTAGGTTTTCGGGGTTGGGACAAATCGCCAAAGGCGGGCTGCTGATTGAATGTGAGGCTTTGCTGGGTACTTGGAGGCGTCTCGCGGCTTGGGCTTGGACTGGTATGGGTGGGTGTGCCAACGCTGATTGCAGGGGTTTCTTTCGCGTTTGGATTGACGGGAAAGGTTGAGAATGGCCCATCCTGTACTGAGCGATTGCTCGGAGGTCTGCCTCGTAGCTTGCCGGAGGTTGTACTGGTAGTCGATGGCCATGCGCTAGAAACAGCAGGGCCGTGTCTTCTACGGTTCCTGTTTGGCGATTTGCTTGAATTGGTTGAAGGGTGAGCAGACCTGGGCTCGTCGAATGCTAAGCTGGCGGAGAATCCATTTCTGGGAGCAATGGCGGACTGGGAATATGGAGAGGAAGCTGTTTCGTTGCTGGTAAAACGCCATCGCGTGTGCTGACCCATGCTCTGAGCACTCAGCTGATTTGGAGTAGATGTCTGCCCGGTACTGGGCGTCTTGGGTGCAATGGCTACTTGAGCTGCTGCCCATGGGTCACTTTGCTGGGCTTGTGCGCTCCAAGGCATCGCGCTAGATGGGGCTGTTGAGTACTGCTCCTCAAACATGCTTGTGAAATCAGCGCTGCTAGAGCGAGTATGCAATTTTTTATTCGCCGCAGTCGCTTCGACTTCAGCCTCAATGTCCTCGGCTTTTCGTCGGCCACGTTTGGGTCTCCATTGAGGCAGCAGAGCACGCACGGCGAGGTCTTCTTCTGGCGGTATACCATCTCGTACAGTCTCTGCTAAAGATTCCTCAGTCGCGGGCCTTTCTTCAACATATAGAGTGGGCTTGCTATGCAGATAATTGAAGAAAGCATCGACGTGGAAAGCATGAAGCCATCGCTGTTGACACAGAAATCAGTACATCTAAGAGTGATAGCAGATGACAACAGGACGGCAATGAGATCAATATGGGAGAGAGGGTGTGTACTTTTAGCCTGACAGCGTACTGCTGGACCTTCTGAGAACTTTGATTCTTCGCAGCGTCTGGCTGCTCAACGCCCAACTCTATCACAAGCTGGGTCCAAGTCTTGATGTCTTTAGCTTCCAGCCTAGAGATCAAGCCGAACAAGGTGTATGGACTGAAAGTCTTTCCATCGCTCTTTGGCGGTGTACGAAAACCTTTCTTCAACTCGCTGGTATCAACATTTGCACGAATAGATGGATTACAATACATGATAAACTGAACATAAGCATCATCGATAGAGTTGTCGTCGATTTCTCTCAACGGTAGTTCACGCTCTGTAGAAGCGTTGTGATTAGGGTGAAAGCCATTCGGAATGATATGATGATTGGGGATTTGAGGTCTTCCGTAGGCAGCATTAATTTGTGATTGTTGGATATGATGGTTTTCAAGGTTTGGATCAATCATGGAGGCGGTGGGAGCAAGAGTGACGGGTTCGGTGGCCCGACGGGCCAAGGGGATTTGATGAGACTGATAGAATTGATGCATCGTGTTGCCCGTTTCAAAACCATGTACAGAATCCCTTTTCTCCCCCCACCCCAACAATTTAGAGGCAGAACAAGAACAAAGAAGTCTACTTTTTCCCAGGTAGGGTATGTCTGCAAGTGCTTTCAGAGAGTCAGCTTAGCTGATTGCGAGCCCACCAGCTGGCAACAGACTGCCGCTGCCCGCTGGTGCCGCCGCGTCAGCCCCACCGAAGGAGGGAGGGGGCCAGAAGCCCGAGCGAGTGTGTTAGAAAACACCTCAAGAGCTTCAACCACCCAATATCGCAGCTCTTGCTTCTTGGGAAAAGGTCGAACGATTCTTAACAATAATTAGGGTTACTGAGCAGAGCAACTGTTGGTGAAAATTTGAATGATGAAGAGGATAATTAGGCTGCTATTGATGGATTTTGACGGTCAAAATGCGCTGTAAGAGGTAATTGCAGAGGGGTTTGCTACAATTTACAAAGAGCGAAAAGCCCACACTTTTGCGCAGGACATTTGGGGATAACATGTGTATTAAGAGCTGATCTCCTGATAAGTGACATGAAAGAACAAGTACTCTACTTTTTGTCCTATACACATTAATATAGCATATTGCTGTGGTTCAACAGCCGTACTAGGCAAGAAATAGAAGATCCCTCAAGTTCGGTTTGAGCGTTGTCGTATTATCAAGCGGGCAATAGCGGGTCTGAATCTTCACTGGTGCCATGGGACTGGCAATGAATCAACTTGTATATACATGCTTTTGACCAAACGGAATGGTCTGCATGTTCGAAGTTTTCATCAGGAATAGCTTACGAACTCGGGTGCTCTTCATGGTGCTTCCTTGGACCACCAACGCTTGAAGGTGTCCGAAGAAGATAGCTGGATATTGAGCACAGATGTCATTGAGAGCGAATCATAAGCAGCCAGACCAGCGCCACATCTAGCACTGCCTGTGGTCGACAACATGTCCATTGAGGAGACAGACAGCAAGTCGCAAGTAAAAGCAGGACTCGCAACAGTGGAAGTCCTGTTATTAGCAAGAAGGATAGAGTTTGATGCCATCAATTACACTGTTTGGACTGCCTTTATGTCATATTCTTCAAATATCGTTGGCTTGATACGAATACAAGTGTGATCTTCGAAGATGCTAGCATAAAGGTTGCCATCTCTTCGAGAGCAGTACGGGGCTCGGCTTTGCGTACTCTACGTTATAGGCATGATACCACCGGATAAGCACATTCCTCCGGTCATTGACTTGAATTATTTAATAGAGATGTCCTATGCAGGATGTTGTTGTTCCTAGGTCTGAAAAAAAACGTCGGCCAAGCGATTTGAACAAAGAAGCCAGTTCATCTAAAAAGGTCTATCATGCCCGATTTTCACTGACGGCGCACTCCTTGCATTCATGTTCAGGACATACAACATTTGCAACCTATGTAGTGGCGTTTTCTCAATTCCCAACTTCGCCTCAGCGTTCGTTGCGAGAGGTTCTGGTTCCTTGATTGCCTATACATCAATCCTTCCATCGCCTCGTTAAAGATGACATAAGTCAATTTTGCTTCCAACTTAGATACTGTGTAAAGAGAGCAGTCGGCGACAGAGTACGTTTAGGGGTCGTCTTGAGGAAGAAGAACGCTACCACCCCATACACTGATGCGATTGTTCATCTACTGCTGGACTACCGCGCAGACCTGAGCTACGAGGGTGGGCTGATTAGATATGTCTCTGATGAGGGAGCCAATTAGGTAAGTTTGAGTATCGGGAACCTGGTATCCAACCAAGACGACGTTGCCCACGAGGACGTTTGGACATAAACTCAAAGCAGAAGTGGACAGTGAGCGCAGAAAGTGAAGGAGCAACAGGGGAGGGCTGCGATTCGGCAGAAGAAGCGCAAACGATGGTTCAGCGAGCGAGACGTTTCTAAGATTGAACCTGTTGTGAACAAAAGTGCCGTACGCTCCAACCTTGGACTAAGAGGACGATGCAACACTTAGGCCCCATGTCACAGCTACTTATGGGACGGCCTGGCAATTGCAATGATTAGACGAGAGACGATAGGCGACTGGTTTTCTCCGCGTTTTGATACTTACTCGCGATCACACCAGTTTCCTCTTTCCGGTTGTCTTGCGAATGCAGCATCACACACATCAGCTCGCACCAACAATGACTCCGTTCCATCGCCATTAGTACGAACTTGTGATCACTCCTCTGAAATGAGCCATAGCGACACTCGGAGGTTCACTTCGGCAAAATCCGAGGTACCATCCACCAAGCGTGATAGAGCTCATTACTCTTTGCCACTTCCACTTTTAGGATCTCCCGTGCGTCCTGGGACGCTGCTTTCGACATGGCCTTCTTTGATGTTGCAATCATTATGTTTGCTGTGATGCAAGCTCTGACGATGTTCTTGACCGAGGCTCTCCACCAGTCTTCGCATCCAACGCACCGTGCTGTCTCGGCTTTCGTCTTGCTGATAGCTTCCCAATCCTTTCTGGCTGCTTTCAACGCTTGATCTGCAAAGTCCAGGATTGCAACCGCTTGATCGTTGGTTTCAATCTTTGTGGATGCTGTCTGATGGGAAGGATCTCCTGCATCTCTCTCGAGAGTGTGAAGAGAAACACGAGATGCAAATTCGGGATAAGACGGCACCTCAGGGAGAGACACAGAAAGAAAGGGCTGCACTCGGAGAGAATAGCGAAGCGCTGGCGTGCCGTACGGCAAAGGATGGTATGGAGCAGGAATAAGTCCTAGATGAGCTAAGAATGAGAAGAGCTAATGCCGCGGTAGTGAGCACGTTGGCAGATATTCAAAGAGACAACGGAGGCGGTGTCAGACTTACACAGGAGAGACCCTCGGCAAAAGATTGAGTCGCCGATGCCTCAAGCGTAGCGAAATCCAGGAAAGAGAACGAACGGCGAAATGATGTCTTCTGCTTGAGCGTTGGGTTGGCGATGCGCTTAAGCCTGTGCGCGCTGAAAGTTCGAATACGCTCTATGTGCTGAAGCCGAGTGCTTGCCAGATGCTGCAGATACCTATAAATAGCGACTTCAGCCCTTACACATGGTCTGTGGAGGGGTTTCCAGTCTAGATACCAATACATTCCAGCTAGCTCGTCAACTTGGTAGATGTCTAGCTCGAAGCCCATCTGCACGATCCACTCCATCTGGCGCAATTTGTAATAATACGCCCATGACGACAGGGGAAACGACCATATCTCTTCGTTTGGCGCACTTAGTTCCCTAATCGGCTCTTCTTTGGTGTACTTGCGAAGTTCGGTGTCAATCCCTTCAGCCTATTCTATATTTAGCAATAGACAACAGTCAATGTATGATCGGGACCAACATCGAACTGTAGATTCTCCCATTCAACAGCATCGCGACAAAGGATGCGTCGTAATCGAGATCTGTTCAGGCATAGATTTCTAGATATGTTGAGAAAACACTGCTTCTCTTAGCTGCACGAGCCAATCGTGACGTTCATGCTAGACTCACATCCGCAGCTTTTGTCACGAAAGCATCCATCCTCTTCGAGATCTGAAACCTAGGATCTTGGGGCGCTTCGATGTCACCATTGGCTGGGTCGACAAGGATATCTGCAGGCAGCACAAGTTCTTCGAAATCATCAAAGAGAAGTTGCTTCAATGATATGGTCCCAAGTACCCTCATCTCGCTGAAAACCAGTGACTGCAGTAAGCATCGTATGTAAATGGAAGGTTGTGGTATTCGAGATTGGTATGTCAAGACGAACGTCTAAGGATAGGTCAGAACAGCTTTGGTCAAGCGCCACAAGTCAATTCCGCCCACCATGAGACGAGTTCCAGCCTGAGAATCCAGGATTCGGTAAGCATCCCTACCGTTCTGACAGATACCACTTAATCGTGAGAGAGCCTCGTCAAAGCTGATCCTGACTATTGGTCGCGGAGGCACGCTGCTAGCTAGCTTACGCTGTATCTTTATGCCGAAAGAGTTCTCTATCGGCACACCAAGCTTATTCGTCTGCGAAAGCATGGGAAGTAGCTCGAGGCACCTCTCCCATAGCCTCGCTCTTTGACGATCCAAAAATCCATCTGATTGGACAGCAGACAGCAACGTTTTTCGAAGTTGTAGCCGATTGAGGAGGGCGTCTCTGAAGGGACGATCCATCGACTCTATTTCTTTAGTGACAAACGCCATGGCATCCTCTATTTTCGTAGATATATCGGACAATTCGAAGTCGTCGAGCAATTTCCGATGGTACAGACTCACCACAAAGTCTTCTTCCTATACAAAGTTGGCAATTGACTAATTGCCCCCAATCCACCATCGGAAGAAGCGGACTGACCTCGTAGTAATGCTCGGACATGATTCTCCTACGTACAAAGTCGCAAGTTTTGACTAGGCCCAGGCAATATGCCCGAAGTACTAGGTGTAGCAGCTTATTCCCTGGTCCGGACGTCTTGTCCCGCTCAAAACGAGCTTGCTCCAATGTCTTGGGATCGGGCCAGAGAAGTTGATCGATATATGCTGAAGTAAACAACGACTGTGAAAGAGGATGTCCCATGTGCCACGTCATCTACGATACCTACGATCAGTATCAGAAGAGTCCATTGCTCCACATCATTAGGGTACAGCGAAAGCACACCTCAAAGCATAACATTTGGTCCATGATTCCGAGGACCTCCTCTGGTAGTAGCTCTCTCAGGACATCGTAATCATGCTCTACGGATTCACCAGATGTCAAGAAACCGCTATCCATCTTAGGATCCATGATCTATCACAATCTCTCAGCAGTTGATATTGAAATTTTTGCGTGTTGTATGCCGCATTCGCAAGACTGTACGCTTACCTCCAGTGCTCCCACTGCTTCGAATAGAGTGAAGTATTCATCTTTAACAAGTTGACCGGTATTGAGAGCTGTCTAAAATCAGGACTGTATTCTGTCTTCGACCATGCTTGTGAATTACACGGACCTGATGCGGCGGCGAAGAACTCGGAGGTAACATTCTGAGTCACAATACGTTTGCTCTTTGATTGTGGGGGAAGCGGAGAGTGATGCTGCTGTCGCACGTCGTGGTGATCCGGTGCGCTGCTGAGCTTCGAAAAATCCGCCATGAGGTCTCCGGGTTTTCTTAGTTGTGCGATTGCTGGAAAGGATATGGATCTTACCTTTGACGACTTCGAAATTCATGTGGGCTTAAGTCAAGACCGTTGACTATTCGTTCGTGTAGATACACGGGAAGGTGACCTAAGGGTTGCAAGAAGTTACGGAGAGACACGTGATTTGCTACAAATTTGATGTATCTTCTCTTCGATCAACATTATTCTTCCATTTTGCTACCAGCAAATGGAAGTACCAGTTATCTATCGATCTTGTTGATTCCTCGTAAAAGCATCATCTACGGTGAGAGGTGCCTTTCCGCAAGCCTACGACCAGCGTATCTATACACTTGGGAGCCTTTCCCCTCGTTTCCACGCCCCAAAATCCAGCAAACTCCCCTATTACTGTCCTTGTCCATGCCCAGCTCCTTCTGCCATTGAACTAGCATTTGCCTGGGCGAGACTCTTGTTCTCTCCTTGTTTGCCATTCTGCATCATGCCTCGTTAGTTCTCTCTGGTTCGATTTTCTCAACTGTCCAAGCCAGACCCACCTCCCATTTGGCGAACTTCAGCTCCATCTCTCCTCGTCTCTCGGCCTTCAGCCGTTCTCCTTCCTTGAGTGAGCGTCGGACAACGCGGGCTGCGACGGCTAAGTATCGGTTGTAGCTGTGATCTGTCAGCCATTGAATCCAGTTGAAGACAAGTAGACAAACGTCAGGCCTGAGGCTTTCCAGGCGAATGCCATAGTTGAATCTTTGGGGTGTGTGATGGGTCGTAAGATGTTATGGATGGACGGTATATTGCGCGAGGATTCGACTCAATTTATTCGTGCTGTCCAGAAGTGAGTTCTTTGATAGAGCGAGGACACCAATAAATCCTTCCACTTAGCCGAATATCGGTTAATCTATTATTGGTGTCCTCGCTTTATCAAATATGAGCGAAGCGAATAGTCGGACTACGATTAGAAGCTTTGCATCGCGGGACGGGCGATTACAGGTAGCGTGTCACCGTGTGCATAAAGCTTTAGAATTCTTGGCATCGAGAAAATCGCACACACCACATCAACTATGTGCCCTTAAACCCCCTAGAGAACCACCACCGCGTGGTTTAACAACGGGATCCCTATGTGCAAGATACTCGATTCAATGTACTCTACAACTACTCCTAAAGTTGAAATTCTTGGAAGGCGTTCAGAGCAAGCTATCTCTAGATGCTTTATCACGCCCTAGAATAATTATAGAATATCCGGAAACCGGAGGCTCTGGATTTTGGGGCAAGTTGTAGAGTAGATAAAACCGAACATCTTTCATGTTAAGCAAAACATCTTTTCTGCAAGCACGAGATATTGACTTTACAATAGAGTTAAAAGGTACCTTAGTTTATAATGTGTAAGTGTGTTTTTTTTTGACCCGAGAATTCCCAAGCTTTGTGCACATGTTAACCATCCACGGAGATACTAAAAGTAATAGTAAGGTAGGCATCATTTCCGATGGAAGGCTCGGAATGAAGACTGGACTAAGCTACCAAAATCATGGTAGCTCCACTGGTGTTAATTAACAGCGAACACTCCAAGGCGCATTGTCAATGTTTCCATTCTGTACTTGTAGCTGATGTGACAGAGACAGCGCCAGATCAGCCCACTCACACATTCAGGCCTATCTCCTCCGCAAAGGGTAGTATAAACAAGTCACCGACGGTTGAGACCGTTGCTCTTCCGTCCAGCAGAGATTTCGCAACCTTTCAAGAGCAATCCTCGTCAGCAAAGGCGTATATCGGAATTTGGGACGAAGCCTACCGTCTTGACTTGATCTTCGGTAACGGTATCAATAGACTTCCCAAGCTCATCAATCTGGAAGGCTTTGCCGCCTTGTACCAGTCCAGCACCTGTCAGCTCAATGCCTGTATTCATATTTTGGCCCGATTCCAGCGCTTTAAACTTTGCTGCCGCAACAGCCTTTTTGATTTCTTCCCTGCCGACGTTGCCAGCGGCCACGCTTTTGATAGCCTTGACAACTTCTTGACTAGCTTGCCTTATCTGATCAGCATTGCCGTACATTGAAATGGTAAGTAGCCCTGCGTCGGAGTATGTATGATGTGCGGTGGCAGTGTGTGCTTGTGGATAAGCGGCAGTGGCCTTGGACAGCAGGGAAAAGCCTGGCGTCCATTTGATATTTGATTGGCCTCCAAGTAGCGCTGCCAGGACCTGACTCTCTGGTTTGTACGAATTTCCTGTTGCCGATCCTGACCCAGGGAAAGCGATGACCATAGTATTTCCAGAGTCATGAGCTATACGCTCCTCACCGCCGTAGTATTTGGTAGATTCTGTGCCAGTTGACGGAAAGTCCTGCGGCGGTGATTGATCTAATTCGGTAAAGAACTCATTAATCCATTTCGATAGCTCTTGGTGGTCGGCACCATTGGCGACAACGGCGAAGTTTGACTTGGCATACGCGACACGGCTGTACTGCTGGAGACGGTTTTCATTGAGGTATTTGGTCATCGGCGTGGACGAAGACGGGTGGAGAGAGTTCCCAAGGCCACGATGAAACGCGACACCGTGAGCTGAGTTCATGGCAAACTCGAGAGGATTACCGAGCAGCTCCTTTCTTGAAAAGTTCATATTTGGCTCGACCTCTTCGTGAAGCTCGTGGGCTTGCGAAGCTGTCAGTCCTTGAGAGACTTTGGACAAAGGAAAAGGACAGCAACACACCGGTGTACTTGGTTTGGGATATGACCTCTCCTATTAGCTCGGCGAAGTAAGGCAAGTCATCTCTGAGGAATTTTGCGCCAACGACGAGGTTTTCCCTTGAATGGTAAGAGCTGTACTCTCCTCCCAACAGTTCAGTCTCTCTTGTAATCCTCAGAGCAGACCGCTTCCAGGTGTTCTACAAATACGCCGAAAAGCAATCAGCGCGACTGTTCTTCCATATGTAGACGTGTGTGCCTTAACGTCAATTGGGCCGTCAATGCAGTGAAAAACAGACCTTGAATGAGAACTTTTCGAGACCCTCCGAGAACCCCGGCAATGGTTGGTATCGGGTTCCTGCCTTTGCGACGACTGCAAGATGTGTCGTAGGCCCTGGAAGATCTCTACTTGCAACCTTCACCCCTCCAGCATCTCCAATTTCATATGAGAAGCTCCCTGATGCCGCAGTCGCAAGGCAACGCCAGTTGTTCGATCTCATCTGCCATTGAAGAGCGCGCTGCCCATTGCGGGCTAGAGCCGCTCTGGGTATCATATTGGCGGGCGAACAATAGAGGAAAAAAGCCCCACAGTTATCAATGGTTGCTAGCGAAGAGCTTGAGAGATCTTCGTGTCGATGGCAGTCACACGGGTGCCGGCCAATATATTGGCCGGCGGTAGCATTGGCATGAATCCGCCGGACTTCACCCGATATCCAATGATTGCGGCGCCCCACAGAGTGGAAGAAAGGTACAAGAAGCCATAAATTTATATCACTTTAGCACACCTCTTGAGCGCCGGTGGTAATACTCGTGGCAAATCTAGACGATTTGGCATAGTCTCAAGAATGTTTAGATATGTCTCGAGTAAGTGCGCGTTCGAGTCTCTCTCGGGCTTTTGCCTCAAGATCTTGTGTCTACAAGCTGACACCCATTTTCACAGCATGCCTACGAATTATGCACCCTCCTTGTCGATGACACATATGGGGAGTTGACTTCGGTGAGCAGATTTCGGTCGTCCATTCTTGTCGGTTGTAGAAAGGAAAATAGGGCGGAGCTCCGTGGGAAGAAAAAGGCTGAACACAAAAGCGTATCTTCGAAGTTCTACTCTGTTATGGACGCCTGTCTCTCCCCGCACTACAACATCACACACACCTCTCGTATCGCTTGGTCAAACATGGCTTATCCGTCCTCGTTCAGCAACACTTAGTCCTTTGGTACACCTCTTCGGACGATCACCTGACCCTATATGAAGCCAATACCACAGTTGCATATTCCCTTGTGCGATCCGGCAAATATATTAAGATTGCAGAAGCTCAAGCCGGTGAATTTGCTGGCAAAGTTATATCTGATCTCTTGCTTCTAGGACACGCTCGAGTCGGTGATCTAGTGCAAGCTTATGGAGTGGGCCAATCCAGGAGTACCCATGATCGTCTAGCTGCCACTCGCGGACCACCTAGCAACCCTTTGTCGGGTCTATCCGAAGGTCGAAATGAAGAACAAAGTGTTACGCTTGAGTCAATATATGGGACACTTTGTGACCTCCTGCGAACTGAGTCTGTATCACGGGTCCATCTATCTCATTTCCGCTCAGACGCCGACAATCGAAGCGAGGCAGAAAAATTGGTTCCAAAGCCAGAAGAATACAAAGCAAAGAGTAAGAGGGAGCAGGATGCTCAACATGAAGCGGCGGTCAAACGAAAGCTCAAGGAGTGGAAATATTGTGCCGACGGAGAAGAGGGTGAGGTCGAGGATCTCAGGAAAGGAAAGAAGAGGCTACATCAAGACAGTGAACCCCGGCGACCAGATCAGAAGCGCCAACGGCTCTACTCACCCTTGATTCAAGAAGTCGTTGGCATACCGGGAGAAGTCTATCTGCCAATGCTGGGGGAGACTGACTACTTGGATGTACGAAAATTGGAAATTCTTCGAGAAAGGGCCGGACAACTGACTCTTAGTAGAGCAATCTCATCCTTCGGGTCAATCATGCCAAGTTCGTCGTCTTGATGAGGAATGACCACCTCGTCGACCTAGCAGATCGAATAATAAGCACGAGCACTGCCAGAGTCTATGCTCAAGTACTCCGTGCGTTGGAACCAAAAGTACAAGAATGTCGGGAAGAGCCAGAGGACTTGAACAAAATAGACGCAGAAGCTGATCTGGGCTCCTTACCCCAAGTTTCCACAGACGAGCTAGTAGGTGCAATCAAAGACTCTTCCGAGCTGGTCAATGCCTTGGGTAAATCAGACGATGGAAGACTCGACATGGCACAATTTGATCACCCCAAGAAACGGCGGAAGAAACAAGTGATTAGCGACAACGGGTCAGTGGTTGATGGTGAAGCCAGTCTAGATGAAGAAGAGGATGCTTCTGATTCTAATGATGAAGACAACATCTCAGACGTCTCTTCGGATCTCGATGAGGTCAATGGCGAAGCAGGGTTTGACCCTAACGCCATGCCCAGTTTCTCTCATAATCCACACCGCGAACCCATCCGCAATCATCTTCTCGTCCTCGCTATGCACCCTTTAAGCTTTCTTCAACATCTCCCAAAGACATCCATTCTTCCCGAACGATGGACGATCGACTTCCCCACACTAATGAAGAACGTTATCCACCACACCCTTCTCGAGATCATTACATCTCGCCATGGCCTACCCGCCGCACGCCTTACCCGCATCCTCTTCGACAAGGGGAAAACGGATGAGAAAGTATTGTGTTCTACCTCGCTCCTCGCTCAGAAGACTATGCGCAGCTACCTTCTCCCACTCCACAAAGCCGGTATGATCGGATTACAAGAAGTGCCCCGAGACAATAGCCGCAATCCTCAACGCACAAACTTCCTTTGGTTCTTCGACCCGGAGAGATGCAAGGCGAAAATGTTGGAGGAAACTTACAAGACTATGGCGCGATGTTTAGGAAGGGCGAGAGTGGAAGGGGAGAAAGTTAAGGGAACGGTAGAGAAGGCCAGCAGGAGCGATGTTATTGGTAAAGAAGAAAAATTCCTCGGCGTGCAGGAACTCGAAGCGTTGAACGTATGGAGGGAGATGGATGAGAGGATCTGGGGGGAAGTATCTAGGTTAGATGATTTAGTTGCTTGTCTGAGGGACTTCTGAGTTCCGTGACGCTTGAGAATGCGCAGATAGACGGCAAGGAAAGTTAGGAAACTTACAAACCTTCAGTTTTCGGCTGAATCTAAGAAATAAAAGTGTGTCTAGATTATGGAAAGGAGAACGATGGGCCTGGTGGATCGAAATGAACCTTACGAATAGAATACATAGCCAACAACACCCGGCCAACGCCTGCAGCATCTGTTCAATCTGCCAGCCTTCACTTCTTTTGTCAACGCTGGCTGCCATCACTCGCACTGATCCGGCTGCTCAAGCTATTTAGGGGTTCTTCGAAAGCCTGTATGATTGGCCAGTATGCAACTGGTCAGATACTGTTCGCCAGCGTTGAGCAATGCTCCCAGTAGTCCGCCCCCAATTTCTAGACTATTAGGGGGACTGGTCCATGGATGGACGGACTATATATGAACCAGTCTAGATGTCTGGACGGACTAGTCCCACTATTAGTCTAGATATCAATTTGTGTAAGTGGTTTTGGTGGTGTATATCTGGGTATGATGGGCGTATTTTTAGTAGTAATAGGGTTACGATTTCAGATTAAAGGGGTACGAGGCCGAGGGTCGGGTACAAAAGTCTCTGCCGACTCTCCGGCGCTAGGCAGTGAGAAAGTCGGCAGAGATCCTTAGCGAGTAGCAGCGGCCTTCTTTTACTGTATATATACGGTAAATATACGGTTGTTTTATTGAGACGTGTTAGTAGGCCACCTCCGCCTTTAGACGATAAAGAATAAAAAACGGATTAAATAATTAACGGTTATATATCTTAGTACGTATTAATAAAAAATCGTATTAAATCGAAATAACTGTAATATTTTTAATACGTTTTATATATTAAAACCGTTGCGACACCGTTACGACACCGTTCTGGAACCGAGAAACCGTTATAAAATCAAAACCTATTTCGAAAAGAATAAAAAAATTGAGAACTCTGCAATAATAGTTAAGGTCTATTAAGAATAAGATATTTATAAAATTAATTAATTTTAAATAATAAATATATTCGCTAATTCGAACTACGATATTATCTTACTTTATAAATTTTTATTACTCGATTAAATTTACTTAAGCTAAAGAATAGCTTATTTAACTATATAAAGTAGTTCACGTAATTTTTTATTACTAAGGTATCTGTATAAATATCGTTATTCTATTAATTCATAATTACTATCGTAATAGACCAGATCCTCCGATTTAACGTATCAAAATTTGATACGCTTATTGAGAGAAACCAATTTGCTACCGTTTCAAAAAAAGCATCACTAAAAACATATGACGTATTTGATCCTTCTCGAAATCATGGTTGCATTATAAAGCTACCGTTAAAAGGCGGTAAATCTTATTAATTTGATTAAGGTACGGTTAGCGCAACTCATAGCCCTCCGCGAAGGTACCCGACCCTCGGTGGTAGTTTCAAGGCCGATATTATAGAGCTATTGGAGTATCTGAAGTTATGGTTAAATTGAGTCTCTTTACGGAGGAAAATCTATATGCTATTACCGGTACTGGAGGAAGATGTTTTGAAAGTCATAGAGTAGTCGGACCAATTAATGGACTAGTCCAAATCTACTTGGACGGTCAAGCATTTGGACGGACTGTGGACTGTGTAAATAGCTTTATTTGGGACTAGAGTAGTCTAGGCCTGTGGACGGACTAGTCGGACTATTGGGAGCATTGGCGTTGAGTCCTTGTCAAGCTGAGGGAGGCTCTGCTCTCGTTCCGAAAGCTCTTCTAGAAAGGTTTCTGTAGCCGATCTCTCCCAATTAAATCTTCAATCCGCTGTCCATTCCTTGATGCTCCCAGTCCTCTATCTGCCGCGCTACATATGGAGTCGCCCGCTCCATGTGTATTGTTGGGAAATGTGCGTAATGCGACGGTGAGCTGTCACGCCTCGGGAAGACGCCGGGCGTAGGCTCACGCCTTCAGTATCTCGATGGCGTCCAGACCCTTTTTGAATGAATAATATTTTCATGAGTGAGTGTCATCAATAAAGACATTACACATAAGAGTGAAAAAGAAAGGTCCTCTTGTCAAACGATTAGGCAGTTGATGTTATGTTTGAGTCCAGCGTTGGAGCATGCCGTCAGGCTGCCTTGAAATTGTGAAATTAAAAAAACAGATGTGCAAAAATCTCGAAGATTCAGCTAGGAGATCACAACATGATGGTGGAGCAGTGTGCAGGGGTGCAATTTCAACAAAGGATGTAGAATAAAGACATCAATGGCTAGCGTTTTAAGGATAATGGCGGGGCTCAATACTTCCACGGCTTACATTAAAGGTAATTTTACTTCACGGGTTTCGATTCTTCAATCCTAGGAAGATTTGACAGCGCAGTTATAATCGTCTAGATAATTTATCCAATCTTTGAACAGTAGCTAAATAGACCGGCGTTGGTTTTTAGAAGATCCACCCAAACTGTCCAAATTCTGTAACAAGCAACAGATGAAAGGAGGTGTTAGATGGCAGTTACATGATAAGCAGAAGCAGAATAAGTGCTGGGGACTGCGCTTATGCAGTCTGCACTTTATTTGAGTGTTTGGCTAAGGGCCAGTTCGGTAACCACATATTTTGAAAATAACCCCTACTTATTTTCAACTTAGCGTCATATATATACAGGGTATCGTTCGGTTACCATATTTTCAAAATATATTTTCAAAATACCTGAAAACAAGCCTCGAGCCTTGTTTTTTGGCAAAATAAGGCTAAGCACGCTAAAATAATGGACATCCATAACATTAATATACATATATTAGGGTTACCCTAACCCTAACCCACCCAGCAGGGACACCAGCAGGGAGCCAGGGACACCAGCAGGGACACCAACAGGGACACCAGCAGGGACATCAATGGCAATGACGGGGGCAATAGGAGTATCAATGATAGTCAAAGCCTGTGCAGCAGTAGCAGCAGGTATCTCCGCCATAATAACGTGGAATGGTAGAAATTCAATGGTCACTGATGGAGAAGATAATTTTCTCAATTTTTTGCGACGATTCTGACTCAGCCTCAGAAACAGGGTTACCGAACGGAACCGTATATATATTTTACATATTTTGAATATAAATTAGTGCCATATTTTCATTTGCCAAGAGGTGGCGTTATTTAGTGAAAATAAGTAGGGGTTATTTTCAAAATATGTGGTTACCGAACTGGCCCTAAGCCTTCCCCACATTCCGCAGACCTCGGCACGCTAGTGTAGAGGATCTACGACAATCAACTTCCGGTCTTGCTGAACTTCTAACCACCAGTTCAATTCAAACGCATGAAACACACTATGTCTAAAATATCTACTCCCAACAAAGAAGCAATGGCTCCAGCCACATCAGCTGCCCAGCATGGCGATAACATTGCCCATGCCCTCGCAGGTGCTGGTGGGGGTCTCCTCTCTATGACCTTGACGCAAGCCATTCCTTCTCCAGCCCCACCAGTGTTGCAATGCTAAGCGACCTCACAGATACCCACTCATCACGCTTTCCACCCGTGCACAAGTTGAATCCAAGCGCGCTCAATCGTCAACCTATGATGCCATTCGTCGCATCGTCCACCGAGAGGGCGTGACAGGTCTTTACTCGGGCCTGGATAGCGCCCTTTTTGGCATAAGCGTTACCAATTTTGTCTATTACTACTGTAATTATTTGTCTCTATCTATACGGGCCACGGGCCGGCTCACTCGGCCTCAGCATCGCCAGCTAACAATGTCTTTGCCCAGGGTACGAGTGGACCCGTGCCTTCTTCGAACGTGCAGCAATCCGCAGCTCGCGCGCATCTAAGAAGCTCACAACGATCGAGTCTATGATCGCCGGAGCTATCGCCGGTAGCGCCACTGTCCTCATCACAAATCCAATATGGGTTATCAATACGAGAATGACAGCCCCCCTATCCGAATCCTCTTGTTCGAACCTTCCCACATCTTCCACAACGCCCGACAGGCCGGCACGAAAACCATCGAGCTTTGCAACTGTGATGAGATTGATTAGAAGAGAGGGTCCCACTGCTCTTTTCGCAGGGGTATTGCCTGCGCTTGTTTTGGTGGTAAATCCGATATTGCAATACACGATCTTTGAACAGCTGAAAGATGTCCTCGAGAAGCGGAGGAGAGTTACTTCACGCGATGCTTTCTTTCTCGGGGCCATTGGCAAGCTACTGGCGACTAGCATCACTTACCCATATATCACGGTGAAGAGCAGGATGCATGTGGCAAGTGGGGAGACTCCTCGGGACGGCGTGATTCAGAGTCTCACGCGAGTTGTGAGACAAGAGGGTTGGAGTGGACTTTACAAGGGCATTGTACCGAAAGTCACCCAGAGTGTTATCACGGCTGCATTTTTGTTTGCCTTCAAGGACGCACTTTATGAGATGAGCGTGCACGCGCGGAGAAAGGTACCAGCGAAGCTACCGCGGGAAAATAAGAATTAAAGCAAAGAACGATCAGTACATACAGTGTAATTTCTTAATTCCGACGGCCATCCAAGTAGGACAATGCCCACTTATCTACCTGCTGGTTCATCATCTGGGTGTATACGATAATGCCCAACTAAGCATTGCAGCACGACCCACTGGAATTTGCAATCTTTGCCACAGAACCTTACTCATTGATGAGTGGGATACTCTGATGGCGCTGGATTATGTTCTGGTACCAGTACTAATGCAAGGATACGGCTGCACCGGCTGCGTGATGTATTCAGATTTCACGGTACCTTCTTGGGTGATCCTGACAGCTCTCTACTCTAGAAAACATGAAGGGGCTATGCAGGAGCGAATCTTCATTGACAAAGGACTTTGGAAGGTATATCACACTCAGCGTGGAATCATGTGTGCTTTGTTCGCGAAATCCAGCGATCGGATGCCGTATAGTCTTTCTCCAACGGTTCTTCCTTTGTGGTTTTGTCAGTCCGAGTCAGTAATGCACCGGTCGTTTTGCGTGTAAAAGACCACAATGTGGAATTTAAGCCAGTCCATCTCAATGCTATCTTTATGCTGTCTTTATTGGAAAAGATGCCTTATGCAATGCGGCTGCTTAGAACAGCCTCTTTCAGGCCCCAAACCCTTGCTGGTAATGTCACTGACTCACAACGTCTTGCATGTTCTTCTCGTTCAAGAACGTCACTTTCGAAGAGATGAGGCAGCGCAGAAATCTTGTCATGATTCGCTGTCTAGGAAAACCCTCAACATCAATTTGCCGGCTATTAGGTTGCCTCAGCTCCTACTCTACATAAAACATCGATTCACACTACCAACCCCCTCTCCTACAGTTCACGGCATCAAAGCAAACATTGCTGCCCACGTCCTCAGTCCGCCGAGAAGTCCAAACCTAGTCTGACCCCACCGACGACGCCGTGGCATTGCCATCGATCATAGTAGAAAATGAAAAGCAACAACTCAACGACTTCTCTCCATCCACGACCGATGACCAAAGACCCGCCAGATATGCCGGGACTGGGAGATTGATATTCTTTAGAACGTGAATCGGATCGATGACTTCTTCGTACAGTAAGCGTAACGTTTTGCAAGGGCCTCCGCGTACTTCAGGGTGATCGTCAAGGACCCCACTACGTTTCGAATGCGCGCTGAGAGGGGCGTCGAGGGGCATTCGAGCAGCTTGCGCCCGTATACCACAGAGTAGAAGTGGCCGGCCACGTCAGGGGGAACGGGGAGATGGCTCGACTGCAGGCGAGATATCTCGGCGAGCTAGGATTGGATGATCGTGTCTGCTTTGGTGCAGGCGAAAGGGACGGCGTCGGCTCTGGAAATTAAGGTCGGTGCGGGCGTGTTGCCGATTACGGCATTGTGAGATTAAGAGAGTTAGCGCGATAGCGAAGGCTAGGAGAGGAAGAATGTACTTGGATTTCGTCTTCAGATGATTGATTTGTAGAGGTGGTACCTAAATATCCGAGCTGATATAGAACGTGGTATCGAGAATGCCGTATCACCTCGTGAGGTAGTAAGTCACACCCTCGGGCACTAAGCCTAATATGATATGGATCCTATATAAATATCGACTTTCGACGCTACTTCTTAATCTTTATATTAAGAATTAACTAAGTAAGCGAAGAAGATATTACTATATAGCTATATAGATATATAATAAATAAAATAATTTATCTATAAATTTAGATATTATAATAATAATTTATGTTATAATATTAGCCCCTTCGGCTATCGCTAACATATCGCGTATTACCAGGGCTAGTAATTACTAGCCACCATCAGCCACCTATTTTATATATATAAATATTCGTATATTCCATAAATCAATAATCAGTCTTTCAGTCACAATCATTTAATTTCTAACATGTCTGATATCCTACTTTCAACAGGTTATAAGCCCGAAAGCGGGGGGCGTATCGAACATCCTTACACTTCCTAACATAGATATTAAACTAAGTCTTCAGTGATCGTTTATAAATAGATATATCTTATAACGACAGCCCATTTTTTGGCTCGTATCTACTGACGGAGGGCTGTCGCTATTTAATCTCTATATAAAAATATTAAACTAAAATCCTTATTTTATTCGAGGTCCCGAAATCAATACGAATAAAAACCCTTATACCATACGAGAACCCGAATTAATTAAAATCCTTACATTATTTCGAGGTTTCGAAATAATACGGGCAAACCAATAAAACCCTTAGATTATTTCGAGGTCTCGAAATAATACGGGTAAAATATTAAAAATCCTTAGATTATTCTGAGGTCCCGAAGCAATACGGGCAAAACATCAAAAACCCTTATATTATTTCGGGTCTCGAAACGGGTATTTAAAGCCTTGCACTCTTTCTATTTTTCTATCGGGGTTTTTATAGATTTAACGAGGTTAAGTAAATAATTAATCTCGAATATAAAGCGTGGATTTGAAAACTGATATATATAGAATACGATGTGCTGGGGTTTGGGAATCTAGCTTTTAAGGCTTTGAGAGTATTATAATATCAGCCTCTTCGCTATTATATAACATATCGCGTATTATTAGGCTAGTAATTCCAGCCATTATTAGCCATCTATTTTATATATATAAATATCCGTATATCCCATAAATTAATAATTAGTCTTTCGTCCAATCATTCAATTTCTAATATATCTGATATTCTCTTTCAATAATTTATTCTAATTCTTTATATAAATTATTTAAATTAGAAATAATTTATTTAGCTCGAGAAAAAATACTTAATATTATTATTTTTAGCTTATATTTAATTTATAATTAATTACTATTCTCTTAATCTTTACTATTTTAAAATATTTTATTATTATTATTTATTAATATATAAAGATCCTTCCAGCATCTTCGCTTTCGGCGATAATAGAGTATATTATATTTATTATATTTCTAAGAGGTTTATAATATATATTTCTTTCTTATATTATTAGAAATTTTATTTAAATAGCTATTACGTATTATGAATATAATAGAAAAATAGAAATAAAGAGATAGAAGATAGCGCTATTATAGCGTCTTAGTATTAATTTTAATAACTTATAATTATTAGTTATAATATAACTAAGAGCTATAGTTATATAGTTATAGATAAATATAGCTATAGATAATATAGTTATAAATAATAGTAGTTATAGATAATATAGTTATTAGTAATAATAGTTATAGATAATATAGCTATAGATAATAGCTATATAGTTATAGCTATAATATATTAGAGTAATTAGTTTACTTAGCGTATATGTGAAACTAATACGCCTAAAAGACTAAGATATATCCCTCGAAGCGATCCGATTTATTATAGGCTATAAGTCGAAATCGAATAACTCGAAGAGACGAATCTCTAGTAATTTAGCGAGCGACTTTTTACATTTATATTAAATCCATATCTACTACATAAAGTTCTTTCCTTATATTCTATCTATCTATATATACGATTTATTTATATAGTATTTATATATAGCCCTAGCTCTAATTATATTAAATATAATCTATTATATTACTAATAGATTATAAGCTCGAATAGTTATTAATCGAGATTTTAATCTTTCGCTATATTTATCTATTACCGCTATAGCTCTAAATACTAGAGAACGCAGCCGTCTCGAGAATTCCGTCGAAGGATATTCGGGGGTAGAGCTGTAGTAGACTAGGGATACTAATCGAAAAGATATAATATAATATGAAATATTAATCTATTATACTATACTCTAATATAATATAAATTATTAAGATTTATATAATTCTATATCTAATATAATATAAGATCTTAGCGAGATATTTCACGATATAATATATCTATAGTATTATATTATAAAATAATATATATATAAGATATCTTAATTAGAATTTCTATATTTAGAAGTAGCTATTTTAATTATTATTCTAGTTAATAATTACGCTAAATTAATAAGATATAGAATTAAATATAATTATATTTTATTATTCTATATATATAAAAAAAAGCGAGCTATATTTGCTAATAATAAGAAAAGCTTATCTTCTTCTAATATTAGCTATACGAAATTCATCGATACTTTATAATTAAAATTATTAATAATAATTTTATATATCTATTACGTATTTTCGATATCGCTATTTAATATAAAATTATGCGTATTATAATTATAGCCTTTTTATTAAATTATCGATCTAGGAAAATTAATATATTTCTTAGTATTCTTTTGAAAGTATCGTAGTTTAATATAATAAGCTATATTTCTTTAAGCTACTTTCTCGCGATATATAAAAAAAAGATTAAATATAAAAAGTATATAAAAGTATATTTAATAATTTTAGAATAAATTAATAATATTTATAATAATAATTAGAATTAAAAATTAAATATACTCGAATAAGAGATAACTTTATATTATTCGTATAATAGCGATAGTAATAATTAAGATTAAAATATCGATTTAGATAGCGTAGCTTTTATAGTAAATTTTTTATTACTATATATTAGATTAATTACGTATAAATAAAGATTTATAATTTTATCTTTTAAACGTAATCGCGTTTAATATTTTAAGATTTTTATAATAGTTTAATACTTATTAATTAGCGCGTTAATATTATTATATTTAAACTATAATAGCGCTTATTATTAAATTCTATATTACGCTCTTAAATAGCTTAAAAAATAAGATTTATTTAATTATTAATACGTATAATAAAATTACTTTTAATACTTATATCTTATTTAACTTCGATATTATTTATTTTTTCTTAATTTAAGTTTCTATCTTTATTTATATATATAATAATTTATATAATAAATAAAACTTTAAATTTCTTCGTAATTACGCTTATATACTTTTTTTATATAATATTATTAAAATATAAGTTTATTAGAATAATAATTAGAATTAGAAGTTATTTATTATTTATCTATTATATCTTATCTAATTTATTTAAAAATTTATTTCTATTATAATAATAATATATTAATATACTTAGCTTTATACTTTTTAATAGT